ATTCCTATTATCCCCAAGTCACCTGTCCTCTTGTGTCATGAGAGGATAGATTTCATTGTGATAGAAGCACTTTTGGTAGCCATGATCAATCAGTACTACCTAGCTTTCTGATTCTCCATAATCTTGCAAGATGTTGGATTAGAATATGGTCAGGAATTAAATGTATGATGATCCAACCATGCAGTAGTGCTTGACATGCTGGGATTTTAAAGGAAATTGTAATGTAAGCTCTTATCCTAATAGCCTCGGATATGAAAACTGACAGGGTATAATGGCTAAAAGCCTTGGGCTAGGAGGATCTAAATCACGCACAGCCATGAAAATTACTGGGTGGTTCTAGGACAATCTCTCTCGGCCCAAAGTATCTTACACAACTGTTGTTGTGGGGAGAAACAGAAGGAGGAAGCCAATGCACTGTGTACTAAAAAGAAAGCCAGGAGATAAATCTAATAAATAAATATAATGTGCCACTTTAATGTGCTATTGTTCTAAAATTTTGTGTATGAAGTGCTCAGTGTTTCTTTTACACCGCATGCTATTCATTACTGTTTACTAGAAACACATTTGACATTGTGATATTTGTATGTGTGGATGCATGTTTATGTATTTGTGAGGAAGAGATCTTTTTACAGGTCTATTGCTGGATTTGCAGGCTCTCTGACAGTTGTTTCCAAAAGTTACACTTTCAACTTTGGGAACAGAGAAGGCAAATTTTGTCTTTACTTTTGGAGGCACATTAGGTGTAGTGTTTGTCAAGTTTTTGAAGATAAAGTTCTCTCCTCCACCTATATTTGAAGGCTAGGGGTTTTATTGGTTGGCCAAGTCAAAGATCACACCCAGAATACTGGTTGGGCACGTGTTGGTAGTACCAGTTTAATTTACTGGCAAGAGAGTCTTGGGAGATTCTAGTTTTCTCCTGTCTGTTATTTCATCTTAGCTTGTAGACCTAAGCCTGACCCTTCTCAATCTGGTGTTCTTCAAATACATTGGGATCTCAAGTCCCAAAGCAGTTGGTTGGCCATGGGATTTGGAAACATTAGGGAAGCTGAGTGTGTTACCACTCCAAGGAGAAATATATTTCTTACTAGAAGAACAGATATTTTAATTGCCATGAATTACACAACTGAGAAATCTTTTCTGAAGCTGTATCCTCTGAACCTCAAGGACTATCATTAAGCCTTAACTAGCTGAAATTGTCATCTCTTTTCTGGCAAAATTATTGAGTGGATGGTTATCATGGAAACACCGTGGACAGCAGCTAATGATCTGGCCCCATTTCAGTTGAGTTTTAGGCTTTGTCTTGCTATAGAAATGGCTATGAATCACTCAGATTGATCACCAATGTGAGCAAACTGGAGAAATCTGATTCTGGAAATCTCCCATTGACTTTGGGTATCATATATAGACCATGCTATTTTAATGAATGGGTTCTCTAATTTGAAAATTGTCTGTGCAATATTTTGATATGTTGATTGACATATCAACATATATTCTAAGTATTATGACTATCTGAAATTAGTCAGGTCTCATCTATTCTTGCTTTCATTCTCTGGATCTCTCACTACACTTGATCCTAGTCAAAGAGTGCAGTAAGCAATTGAGGATGAGATCTTAGACATTATGGCCCCTTGATTCAGTCTTTGATTCTACTTACTATAGAGTTGAGAGAGATAGTTGATAGTTGTGGCAATGAATTTTTGACTCTGACTTACAGAAAAATTAGCTTCCCATCATTATAATAGTGGTTTGTCCAGTATGCTTTTTATCCCATTCAATTATCTAATTGACATGGTGTGAAATGTATTTGAGCTGCACATTTTAAAGACAGAATAGAACAACGAATCTCCGTTCTGTATGAATAATGTGCAACAGTCTTAATGTCTGTTATCAAAAATTTCAAAAGAACTTAGACTATGACTTATTCTGCAAAAAACAGCATTTCAGACTTACTGGATTCAATTGCATTTGTATATAAAAGGAATAAGAAATGGAGAATGCATCATATCTTGAAGATGCAATACTTTTGTGTTATCTTGAAATTGTTACTCACTGGTAAGATGTCACTATATATATTAATTCAATAAACTACAAATTTATTAATACCTGGGCAGTGGAAATGGATTTTATGTGCCATTCCTATTGCTAAAAAAATGTGTTCTTCAAAACTGAAAAAAAATCTTTATGGCCCCATCTAACTTTGATATAAATATTTACATGCACATATACACAGGTAAAAAACTTTTATATACTCATAGACACACACATACACACACACAAAACCACTTTTTGTTGTTGCTGTTGCTTCCCCCCTTTTGTTTTTCTACTGTTTTGTTTTGCCACTGTTCTTTTTAAATAAATAAAGGGCAAAAGGACTTGACCCATTATGTGTGTGCCACAATAGAAATCTTTCTCTTTAGCAATTGCTAAAGCACATTGAATTGCTAAAGCACAGCAGAATCCACAGCAAAGAATGATGATGCCAAAGCATGATGATGACATGTGTCTGGTGACAAACAAATGCCACTTGACACAAGTGCATTGAGTCATAGCAGTATGATTATACATGCTTATCCTCTATATTTATCAAAGGTTTGTATAATCAGTTCCCAACTCAATTTTCCCTGTTTTCCTGAGCCACTTACATCATAATTGTGTGCCCATTTTGTCTGGTTTGATGCATTCATTTAATAATACCATGGCTATCTAACTGTCCCAGTAAATCATATTGAAAACATACTTCCCAACTCATGTCTTAAAATAGGAAGAAATTGCTAAATCTTGTTCTACAGATAATCCTTGACTTAACGGCTACAATAAAGCCCAAAATTTCTATTGCTAAACAAGGCAGTTAAGTGACTTTGCTCCATTTTACAATTTTTTGCGACAGTTGCTAAGTGAATCACTGTAGTTGTTAAGTGAATCATGTGGTCATTAAGCAAATCCGGTTTCCCCCATTAATTTTGCTTGAAGCAATTGGGAAGGTTACAAATGGTGATCACATGACCCCTGGGAACAGTGCAACTGTCATAAATGGCAGTTTATAAATGCCAGTTGCCAAGTGCTCAAATTTTGACCAGGTGACCATAAGGATATCGTAATGGGGTGTGTGAAAGTATGAAAACCAATCATTTTGATACACTGAGATGCAGTAGAAATAAATAAATAGGAATAATTAATTTACTGTACTCTTTGAATAATTTTAGATTTTTTTTTCATCTTTCTCCACTGTTTTCTTTTGAATTGTGTGTTATACATAACAAACAAGTAACTTATGACTATAAATAAATTGTCCTTACTTATTATTGGGTTTTTCTTCCAAGGAAAGCTCACCTGGTAACTAGTATAGTGTATTTGTCAATGCAAATTCCTTTTAAAATTGGCAATGCTTTTAATATACAGCATGTATTCTTCCTGCCACAGTCATCTCTACTGTTTTACAATGTTGTCATTTTGTTTTGTATTTTCACTGTGTTTTGTTTTGTCAACTGATCAGGTAATTGTTTATTGGGGGCAGATTTTTTTTTTAATCATCTTATAAATAAATGCTCAAAAAGTGTTGTACCGTTTCCATACAGAGAAGAAATAGTGGGTCTACTTAGGGACATCTTCGAAGTGAAGACTTAAACTGTTTCCTGTCCCAGGAGACAGCAGCCTTTGCAAGTCACCCTGCTTTACTGCCTGGTCTCATTGTTGTACCATTAAAGTTGACACAACATTGGAAAGGGCATAATTTGGTTCACTTTTTGAAGTTTCCACAGAACAATCACTCCTGCCAAGAGCAAGAAGTTCAAGTTAGCTAGAAAGACCAGTTATTTGCCCGGAAAATTCTCTCAGGTGCAGATGAGCTGAATAATAATTCAATACTCAAGGGAAAGCATTCTGCACATGCTCAAAATGATTTACCCATATTCTGTCAAGGAACTTGGTGGTGTTTTTTTTAACGAGAGAAAGATAAAAATCATGGAACCTCTTTGCATTTTATTCCCAAAGCTGTTATTTCTGCCATAAGGCTGCAGACAGGAAGAGAAATGAGATTGTATCTTCAGTGTGGTTGATAGATAGTTGCCCTGGCTTTTCTCCACTGCTCTGCTAGCAACCAGACACTACTCTCCCCTCTGCAACTCCTTTCCCCTTGCAAGCCAGGCAGGCTGGGGCCTGTCTTAATAGTGATACATTGGAAGTTCTCCTGAAACCCATTCCTGCTAAACAACAAGGCAAAAACATTTGAAACGAGCAAGGTTTCGGAATGCGTGGATGGACTGGAAGACGCAAGTATTCCAGAACCATTCTATCGAGACAACACATCTGAACAATGGCTCACTTTTTATGTTCTGTTGTTGCCTTGGCTTTTTAACTGACCTGCACCTGAAAGAATAAAAAGTTTAATAGGTAAACAAATTTCAATTCATGTTTCCTCTGTCATTCAGTTTGCTGTAGTATCATGATAATGGTGATGTAGTGTAGTGCTTCTCAACTTTAAGATACGTTGAAGTCCCATATATTAAAGTTGCCAAGGTGGAGAAACATTGATCTAGTGTTTAAAAAAATCTGTTTTGCATTCCTTCTTTATTTACAAGAGAGTTTTAAAAATCCCAGATCTTTATATTTCATTTAATAGGGCATTTTTCAGAATGTATAGATAAAAGTTAAGATTTATCCAACAACATTTGGTGAATTTTTACCTGCTTTGGCAGCACTCACTATCCTTACCTGCCTGTCATTTCTTTGCTTTTCCTTCCTCCTTCTTTCCTTCTCCCAAATCTCATACCTTCCTTCTATCTCTGCAGAGACAAATATATATATATTAGCTCTTGGAAATGACTAAGACATTTGATGGTGAAAATTATCTACACGCAGCTCTGGTCTACCTAAGAGGAAATGGTGTAAAAAAAAAAGAGTTGTTCTCCACAGCACCTCATTCTCCACCAATCAGACAACACCTTTCTTTGACCACACCTACCTGGCCAGCAGGTGCATAAAAAGAAAAAAGGAATGACGCTCCAGAGCACTAAGTAACTGCTGAAGAGCTGAGGCTTGACTTCTCCCCTTCCCTGAATTCCTGCCACTTCTCTGGTCTACCTTTGGAAATCCATCAGTCATGCTTTTTTGGCATAGTCAACCTGATCATTACTGGCCAAGTCCAGGAGAAATGTATCCTTGCCCTGGCAACAATCTCATAAGGTGAGCAGCTTCTTTTTTCACCCCTCCCTTTCCAGCTATGCCAACAGCTGAGATCTGCAAGAAGAAGAAAAAAGCATGCAAGTAAATCAACTTGTTCATGATGGGATATATGAAATGGTTGTAGTGATTCAGCTTCCAGAATTTTGCTTATTTCAAGAGAATGTCTGGAAAGTCAGTCAGACTATCAGAGAGGATGAAGACTTCACTATACTTTGCTCTCTCTCTTCCCAATACCTTGTATGCAGAGCTGTCATTCTTCTCACATAGAATTGGCATGGTGTTCTCCAGGATGGTTGCTATAAAATGATTTCTCATCCATAAGTTGATATCTTCTAAATTTAAAGCCACTTAAACCTGAGTATCACTGTTTTTCCCATTCTGTGCTTAAATGAAGGAAATGAAGTGTTGGCATCAGAGCCAGATCAAGAAAAAAGAATAATGGCACACACCTTGTCCATTTCTTTGGTATAAACTGACAGGAGTGACAAATCTTGTTTTGGCCATGTCGAGGGAGTGTGGGGCCCATCTTTGCTCCGCTGCTGCTTGAGAAGACCAGCCTTTGCCTAGAGGTAGGACTGATCATATTCAACATCCAGCAGGAGTTGGATCTTGCTCAGGCTAACAGGAAGACTTTTCTTAATTTCTTTCAAATTTCTTGACAAATTTCAAATAGTATGCAGAGAGCCACTATTCTCTGGAATTGCTATTTGATGTGTACTTTTCCCTTTCTTTCTTCCCTCGTCTGCTTTGGATTGCATTTAAGGGCTGTTTAATTGTGAAAAACAGGACTAAGTGTTAAACTATCCTCTTCTACACAAATATTAATGATGCACAAGCCCTTGCAGCCTTTTTGACACTTTCATTTACTGTTCATCACAACTACTCTTCTCCCTTATAAGACCTCCAGCTTATGTAGCCAAACCTTCTTTCACCAGCCTGACTTTAATGGTATCTCAAGAGGAAGAGGTGCCTGTTGAAGTCTAGAACTGCAGTCCTGCAACAAAACATTTGTATATATAAAAAATCATTTCACTTTTGAGAGCTCAAGGTCAGAAATCCAATTCCAGAAAGCATGAAATGTTTCTGTGAAGTACATTAGGTAGACAGTCAGCCATTGGCCCAAGGCCACCCTATTATTAGTAATTTGGCTAGACACATTTACAAAAGCCTTTTTGTGATGCAGTCTTTTTATATGCAATGGAAAACTGGGCTTCTATATAACTTATCTGTGGGAACAGGCAGAGAGAATTCAAAATTGTTGCTTGCTACTAATGACTAATACTGATATATATTGTGATAAAGACTAATTACATATTTTACAGTCAAACAACGTGCACTTGTAAAATTGACACTAACAATGTCAATGCAGAACAGAATGTGAAAGAGAACAAATTTTTAAAGTAAACAATGTAGACTTGGCACTCAAATTATGGTTAGTTTAAGGACATTATCATTGTACAGTATTACAGGTGGACTTGAAAAAATTCCTCTGGCTTTTGCTAAAGTAGATGCTAAATAAAGATCCTGGCATTTGTGATCTGCTAAAAAGTAAGTGCCTCTGAGCTTGTCCTCAGCTGAGGAATTTACAACCAATGCAGGATTCTGAAGGGAAAATTATTAACATGAAGCAATCAAGAATTAGAAACCACAGTGATCTACTACCTCCTGCTTATTTGCAAAAGGAAAAGGAAAAAAAAATATGCAAAAATAACAAATAATCATAGAGAAAATGCACTTTATAACTCTTCCTTTCATCATCCTGTTAATTAGATACTACATAGGTGTTTACAGAAAGATCTCACAAAACCTATTTGCCTTTTAAAAGATTCTGAAGACGTGGTGTTATGTCATAACTGGGAATCCAGTGGTGGTGTGAAATCTGTAAGATGGTTGTGTTGATTGACATATGACCTGTAACTTCCTGCCGATTATGTTTTATGGTTTTAATTTGGTTTTAATGGTGTTATTTATTGTGTTTTGTAATCTGTTTATTGTCTTATAGTTGTTTTAATTATGTGAACTATCCAGAATCACAAATGTGAGATGGGTGGCTATAGAAATTGAGCAAGTACAGTAAATTAGTGTGACTTTGCAGTCATTTTTGCAGTAATTTCTCAGCTTCTGAATCTGTTAAGTATTATTTAGAACTCAACTTCTCTCTCTCTCTCTCCCTCTCCCTCTCTCTCTCTCTCTCTCTCTCTCTCTCTCACACACACACACACACACACACACACACCTGTGTTTCTCTTAGCAAATCCTAGTTTCTGAAGTTTTGTTGGCAACATTTTGGAATTGATTGCCATTGCTTGCTTCTTAGAGCTGAAAGAGAATGACTGGCCCCCAGCTGGTTTTGTGCCTAAGGCAGGATTACAACTCACAGTTTCCTAATTTGTAGTCTGAACCATTACACCAAAGTGACATTTTTATGTCTCTTATCCATACCTTTTTCACTGTTGCAGAGAGCCACTGGCACTGCCATTCCTAAAGCAGGAAGAACCAAGTATCTCAACATCAGCTGAGCAGCATTGTCCATCTTTCCAGTATATTCTGTGTGCTGTTACCTCTCCAGCTGTCAAACAGCATGAGGAAACTCTTACCTATCTCAACCAAGGTAAGAGTTTATAATCCAAGGGAGGTGGTGCAGGAGAGAGAGGAAAAGTAACCATATTCTTCTTACAAGCTGCCCCCTCGTGGTAAACCTAATAGACAACATGCAGGTTCCACTGTCTACATAACATACAATGACTCAAAATTACAGGATTCACGCACACAGTCACAGGAATACACACACACACACACACACACACACACACACACACACACACACTTCCATCCAAAGCTTCTACTGTTGGAAGAGAAATGTAAATTATAGATCTTCTGTGAACTGACAGCTGAACCAGGTAACAATAAGGCTTTCAACCATTTAAATCCTAACACATTGTAAGATTGATTGCCTTTCTAATTAAAAGCTAAAGGTTGCATTTTATCCAGCAGAAGATCTTTTGTTAGAACTATATACTGTGTTTACACAATATGCTTAATCTGATTACTGAATTAACTCATTGTCAAGACTTGCACAATATATTTTACCAAAAACTAGCCACATGGGTTGGGCCTGCACAATGTGTTACTTCTTTTTGGCTGCCTTAACACTAACCTAGCATAGCATGGTGTATGAATGCATGGTGCATTTTAGCAACTGACATACAGAAGAACATTTTACTCAGATGGAGATTATTTTTACAGAGATTTTTTTTTTAAATTTTGTTGGTATGCTGTGAATATGCTTATTCATATAAATCAGTGTTTCTTCACCTGAGCAACTTTAAGATGTGTGAATTTCAACTCCCCAAATTCCCTGCTGACTTTGAAGTCCATACATCTCAAAGTTACTTAGTTGAGAAACATTGATATAAGTAAAGTAAGAAAGGGGGGATGTGAGATCATTTTTAAAGCATTTTTTTAAAAAAAACAATCAGTCTAACATTAATACTTGGGAAGATCCTGGAAAAGATAATCAAAAAACAGATCTGTGAACAATCAGAAGCAAACAAAGTTATAACCAGTAGCCAGCAAGGGTTTGTCAAAAACAGTTCATACCAAACCAATCTTGTGGACATAGTATACTTAGATTTCAGTAAAGCATTTGACAAAGTAGACCACAACCTGCAGCTTAGTAAGCTAGAAAAAGGTGGGATAGATGAGTCTGCAGCTGGCTGATAAACAATACTCAGCGAGTAGTCCTCAATGGTACTACATCCATATGAAGAGAAGTAGGCAGTGGGGTACCACAAGGCTTCATCTTAGGCCCAATACTCTACAATATCTTCATAAATGACATAGATGAGGGAATAGAAGGGGAACTCATTAAATTTGTAGATGACAACAAACTAGCAGGAATAGCCAACACCCCAGAAGACAAGCTTAGGATCCAAAAAAATATTGACAAACTTGAACAATGGGCCCTATCCAACAAAATGAGTTTTAAAGTGGAGAAAAGCAAAGTTTTACATTTAGACAGGACAAATCAATGGTATAAGTACAGATTAGGTGAGACCTGCCTCAAAAGTAGTAACTGTGACTTTGGAGTCCTAGTGGATGATCACTTGACTATGAGCCAGTAGTGTGCAGCAGCAGCCAAAAAAGCTAATATAATCCTGGGTTGTATAAACAGAGGCATAGAATCAAGATCACATGAGGTATTAGTACCGCTTTATAAAACCATAGTAAGACCACACCTGGAATACTGCAACCAATTTTGGTCACCATACTATAAAAAAGATGTTGAGACTTTGAAAAAAGTTCAGAGAAGAGCAACTAAAATGATCAAAGGCCTGGAGACTAAAACATATAAAGAACGGCTGCAGGAATTGGGTTTGGCTAGTCTAAAGAAAAGAAGAAACGGGCGACATGATAGCAGTATTCCAGTATTTGAGGGGTTGTCACAAAGAAGAGGGTATCAAATTATTGTCCAAAACAACAGAGAGTAGGACAAGAAATAATGGTTGGGAACTAACCATTATGAGAAGCAACCTGAAATTAAGGAGAAACTTCCTAACTGTGAGGACAATTAACCAGAGGAACAACTTGCCTTCAGAGGTTGTGGGTACTCCATCACTGGAGGCTTTTAAGAAGAGACTGAACAGTCACTTGGCTGAGATGGTATAGGTTCTCCTGCTTGAGCAGGGGGCTGGACTAGAAGACCTCCAAGGTCCCTTCCAGCTCTATTCTATTCTATTATAGATGATCTGTGGAGGGGCAATTATGGATTGTTATCGGTTGGATTAAGACTCAGATCAATTTAAATTTAAGATTAACAGTAAAATAACTGGAATATGTATGCTAGTATGGGATATGAACTATGCCATCATGCTTGGTGAATTCACACTTGGTGTTCAAGTGTGATTAAGCAAATCATAGCTTACTACCATCTAAGAGTTTCTGTACTTCAAAACACACCCAACATTTTTAAATATCTATAAACTTGGTACATCAGTCAGAATAAAATGAAGAGGAAATTATATAATATTTAGCTGTAATGTTTTAATAGTTCTTTTTGTATTTTTATATAATAGAAATTTTGGTATTTTCTCACATTGTTAAAATAATTTCATATACTTTGTATGTTACTGCTAATTTATCAATGATATACTGAGCAATAATTTAGAATCTCAGTAAGCCTTCATTTTTCTACTAACATATTTCTCTTCTTCATTTGAAAATGTATTAGGAAACAAACATGGAACATTAAAAGATGATATTTTGGACTTTGGGGCAATGTTTGGCATATTTGGCCAATCTCACATTCCACATGGTGTATTATTATTTTCCAGGGCAATCATATGAAATCCGTATGCTGTGTAATCCCAAAATAGGTGAATTTGCTGAGGGAAGGAAGCTGTTGAAGGTAAGGCATAGGATAGGAGAACTGATTGGCATTTTTGAAAATTGAGTCCTCATGAAGCTTCATCTTATAACAAACTATGGAACTCATGCAACATATTGCAATTTTTCTAAAAGATTCAATTCACTGCCTATGGAATAGTAGAACCCATAATTAATCATTAATTCTGAGAGAAATAATTGTTTCTTCAGAAACTCTCAAATCCTGGACATTCCCATCATGGTTTGCTTGCAGACTCTATCTGAAGAGAATCTTGTTCGGTAGATAGTGGACTGAAAATTAATCAGAACAGAACTTTATATAGTTCAACCAATTCAGTGTCGTTGAGGCAAAAGTCACAGAGTCCAAAAATTCATTCATACCACTCCAACATCTCTTTGGTCTGATGAGTGGTGCAACCGTTAAGTCTAATTAAACCAATCTCACAATATTTTTCCTACCATATGTGCAGCCTAAAGAAGAGCCAGTTGTCTGTATGACTCAATGCAATATTCTGGTGGTATAAATGGATTAAAAAATATTGGGTCTCTCTTCCCCCCCCCCTCTCTCTCCTTTGAGCAGAGTGTAATCAGGGTGGTCTTCCATGATCGAAGACTGCAATACACAGAACACCAGCAGTTAGAGGGATGGAGATGGAACAGGCCAGGTGACCGCATCCTAGATATTGGTAAGGTGTATTTTCAAAAGGGAAGGAGTGGTATTATTTTCCTAAACCCCTAACTTGGAATGTGCTTTCATAAGAATCTTCCAAAGAGATTGTAATTGTGAGAATGCCTACTCTGAACATAGAGAAACGGATCGATCATTTCAGCTCTGCTATACAGGTAATACTTGACCTATGACTAAAATTGGTACCAGAATTTCCATTGCTAAGCAAGGTGGATGTTAAATGAATAATGCTCAATTTTTACAACCTTTTTTACCAATTTTGTTGAGCAAATCACTCCAGTTGTTAATTGGATCATGCAGTTATTAAGCAAATCCAGCTTCCCCTATTTGCTTTTCTCGTTGGAAACTGGTTGGCAGGGTCACAAATAGTGATCACAGGACCCCCAGAAGCCTTAACTTCCACCACAATACATTACAAGGTTTTGGGACACATTTTACAAGATGCAAAGCCTTTGGGGCAGAGTTATGGCTGCCCTGTTGACTTTATTAACACTGCAGACCCTTCCTCCTCCTTCCTTGAAAAGAGGACTGCAGGATTGTCAAGCCAACATCCCCATGAAAAAGTTGAGAAGAAGGAATTGGGGGTGGGAAGAGTGTGGGAAACATTCTTTACTTGATCAAACTGGGATTTCCATGGCTGATTCCATAGAGCTTTCTCTCCCCCGCCCTGCCCCCAGATCCCCTGTTCTCTTTTCATGAGAGGGTCTGATAGGTTTTTCCTTTTCTGGCTTGTTGTAGATATCCCTATGTCTGTGGGCATTCTGGAACCTCACATGCCTTCCACTTTGCTCAATACTGTGGAATTCCTGTGGGACCCAACTAAGCGCACTTCAGTCTTTGTGCAGGTGGGTAGCAACCTGTTTGTCAGTAGGCTCATCTTTGTCTCCTTGCCCTTTCATTTGTGTTTTAGGAAAACAGTAGCACAAATCTTACAACAGGCTTAAAAGTCATGAAAGTTCCCTCCCTCAATAAACAGAAAAAAAGAACTGGTTTGGTGTAGTAGTTAAGGTGTTGGCCCAGAAACTAGGAGACCATGAGTTCTAGTCCTGCCTTACAGATAAAAGCTGGCTGTGTGATCTTGGGCCAGTCACTCTCTCTCAGATGAACTCACCTCACAGGGTTGTTGTGTAGAAACTAGGAATAAGAAGGAATATTATTTTGTTCGCCACCTTGAGTTACTTATAAAATAATAAAGGTAGTATAAAAATCTTATTAAAAATCTTATTAAAAAAATAAGAAAAAAGCAAATTTCCCACAGAACCACACCAATATTGTGATTCAGCTTCCTGCATAATTTTGAAATTGTCACCACTTTACACAACAAATAAGCCAAAATCCTGTGCCTAGAGCAACTATATACTAGATTGTCATGGTAATGATTTAAAAACTAACCAGTTGATGTGATGCAAGATGGGAATGACTCAGCAGGATTTATAGCCCTTTAAGAGCCAGCTGGGTCTGTGTCCCTTTAAGAGCTTTGTATAAAAGGGAAGGCTCCGCAAATGTGTGCTCTTCCATTTCCTGCTGTAACTGTGGTGTGTTGGATCCTGTATTAGCCCATGTATGTTCCTGGTGTATGATATTGTATATAGTGTAAGATAAACCACCATTTAATATAGACCACTGTTTATTGTGTTTACTCCTGGTTATCTCGCTCAATAAGACTGTGCATGCTCTGACATAGATGAATATTGGTACAATGATAGAAATTCATAGAATATGAATGAAAAAGATATGGAAGAGGGGAGTATTCAACAAAATGGGTCAGCATGGATTGTTCCTCATTTGAAATTTCAGCCATCAATTCTTCTTTGTTCTTCCTCACCAAGTTAGTGAACATTTCATGGTTAGTGGGCACCCAGTAAATTATGTTAGGGGACCTCCACCAATTATCCCCTTCCCAATTTTTATTATATTTTGATAATCCTGTGACTACCCTATCTGCTGATTTTACTCTCTTGTGTTTAAATGATGTTTTTGCTTCTTAAACAATGACCTTCAAATGGCAAGAATTGATTTGTATAATCCCAGCTTTTATGTACAGGGGAAGTAAAAGTGGCTTGGAAAAGAAAGGTTGTAGATCAATACCAAAGTACCTGCTTTCCACACAAAAGGAACCAAAGTGATAGATTAAAAAAATGTTCTGTCCTAAAACTTTATAGAGCCATTGCAGTCAAGGTCAACAATACCAGTTACAACCAGACCTCGGTACTCTCATTCTAGCTGGTCAAAGGAAACTTCAAAGATGAGAGAGTAGTTGTGAGTTTCAAGGATGCAGAAAGTTGATTAGTTATGGTGATTGTATATTATTTCCAGAAAGTTAATTGCCCCTCCACATTAATTATGGGAAACCAATGGTGTATGAAGGACCTTGGTACCCAGGTCCTTCAGTGATCACTTGGGGACCAGCGGCTGGCTAGATATGCTTATGATCTGATGCAGCAGCTCTTCTCCCAACTGAGAGAGGCTTGTCTGTTTCTTCTTTCTTTTTTTGAAACAGGTCCACTGCATTAGTACTGAGTTTACACTTCGTAAGAATGGTGGGGAAAAAGGGGTCCCCTTTCGCATCCAAGTTGACACCTTCAAGCCCAATGAGAAGGGTGAGCACATGGAACATTTGCATTCCGCCAGCTGTCTCATCAAAGTCTTCAAGGTAATGTTGCCTGACTCGAAAGGAAGGATTCCTACTACAAGGATACTACAATTACTATTCCCTGCCCCGGGTATAGTAAAATGAAAGCAGGATGGAGTAAAAGAATCACTGCCAAGCAGAACCAGCTTTAGGTTGAAGTGGAGGGTGTCAAAGTTTAGGGGATTCCAGGAGTACTCCTCCTTCCAAATCATTCTAAAAATGGAAATCTTCACAGTGGCCTAAAAGCACCACGTATTCTTGAGCCAGCACTGCTGCCGAGCATGCTTCTCTATTTGGAAATGGAATGAGAGATCAGTTAAAGGCTGATCCATGCGCAGTTTTGTGGGATGATAATAGTCTTGGACAATATTGTTCATGCGTGAACATTAAGGATCTAAGTAGCAGAAAGACTGGAAGACAAAGTCATCAGCGAAGGTTGTTCATATGTTCCACTACCAGTTATTCAAAATACATTGCTATATGCAGAGAAGTCATGTGAGATGTATAATTAGTTGGCATGAGTCAAGTGTTCCTGAATATTTTCTATATTTTAAATGAGGCTGTTTATTTCCCAGCCCAAAGGAGCAGATCGGAAGCAGAAAACAGATAGGGAGAAGATTGAAAAACAGTCCCTCCAGGAGCGAGAGAAGTACCAGCCTTCATATGACAGCACAGTATTGACAGAGGTACTTGTGCTTCTTCTCACATCCTTTTTTGCTGTCTGGCCAAGGAGCTCTGTGTAATTTAGAAGTTTACTTTCATTAGCAACATAAGAGTCAGTCCAAGACAGATAACCTAGAGATGAATTTATGGGGTTAAAATAAAAAGCAAAAATAACATTTCACAACATTATAATATGGTACTATACTAAATCTTCTAGTATTTTATTTTTTAACCAGCAGAGCATCTCTGGAAGCTCACTAAGAGATATGAAAGTGATGGCTCTCCCTTGCTGTTGTATTCAAAATCTGGGATTTATAGACATGCTATATATGAACAATATTATCTGTCTGTGGTGTGTATATGTGTATAGTATGTGTGTGTGTGTGTGTATGTATGTATGTATATATATATATATATATATATATATATATATATATATATATATTTGTTTTCTGAGGTTTTCGCGGGTGTTTGTATGTAGGTCTTTGGTTTTCAGCTTCGAAGCACGAAGCTGAAAACACCAGCCTGAAGATGACGAATGGGACTTCGTCGAAACGTCGCCAAGACACTTCCAATTTTACGCGGGAGAAAACCCGAACAACCAAAGACCTACATATATATATATATATATATATAATGCATACGTGTGTATATGTATGCATATGTGTATGTGTATGTGATTGTATACACACATACTTGAATACATATATTGAAGCCTTGGTTTATTTTAACAATGAATTGTTGAATAAGCCACAATGGCTGAATTTACATATTTCAATAAACCATTGGTTTACACATTATGCACACTATAATAGCTGGGATTACACAAATCTGATATGCCCATACCTTTGCTAACGAACCATGCAATAAAATGTCACGTGGGAGAGTCAGTTCCAACACGCCAACCAGTCATGACCTCTCCTACAATATTGTGCTTCATTTCAGAATGATAAATTTGCTTTAAAATCAGCAATTGCAAAATGCAAATTCCAGGATATAACATTTCTCTCCTCCCGTCTTCCTATGCTTTTCCTTAGTGTGCCCCTTGGCCTGAAGTCTCCAGCAATCTCAACAGTCCTCCACCAACTCCTGGTCTTGTTTCTCCACACCCCTTCAAGCTTCAGACCCCTGAAAGGTACACTAGGCCAAGCATCTGTAATAGCATGTACCCTTCTCTATTTTGGCCTTGGGACATCTGTAAGGTAAATTGCCTTTGTCGCTCTTTTTGGCAGGGCCTGCTCCTCACCCAGTTATGCCTTGGACAGCTCATCAGAGAGCATGGCAGAGGTAACAAATAGCATCTTTAGGCAGGTGGAAGTATTTATGAAGACCATATTAGTAAAATAAAATAAATGAAATAAAATCTAGATGGATCTTTTGATATTTTGAATTTATCCAAATCCTATTCTCCATTAAACTAAAGCAAACGCTTTCAGAGAAAGTGCATTTTGTGAATTATTCTACTAGTTAATTATGAGATGATTTGATCATTTACCAAAAGTCCGTGCTAATTGACTATCCTGCCTTCCCTGCTTTAATGCAGAATACAGTAAGCTATCAGCAGTAGATTAATATGATCAGCAGAAATGGCTGTCTTTACAAAGACACCAGACTGATGAAGCCACACAATAATAGATGATGTCAACTGGGATTGACAAAGTTTTATTCAGTCTGTGCTTACTTTGCACTCAAATAAACAGTGTAAGAGTGCCCTCTGGTGGTAAAGAACAGTTTTGTTTCCAGTTAACAAAATAATGGAGAAAATTTAGTTTATGAAAGAATATCCAATATATCTAATGTTGGCAGCTAACTGATGTTTGGCTCATCAACATTTTAATTAAAATGTTAAGCTAAATGGTATTACCATTCCCAACATTAATTTATTGGAGAGAGAAACAAACTCATAGGGTATCACGTCCATATCTATGGTATATCATCTTAAATTTTGAGTGGGTAACACTTGTTGGTCCAGATGGTTTATTGCTCCAGACTTGTTGCTCCAGATATGGCTGAAGCACAACTTCCAGCATCATTAAGAAGCCTAGCTCAATTGTAAGTTATTCCCAGAGTTCTATATCAGCTCACCAGAAGGAGGACCACAAGTTCAGCACTTATGCTTTATATGATTACACTACTGCCTTAACCAGCTTTTCCTACTACCTCCACATGCCTAAGAGTAACTGGGAATGTCAGAAGCTGTAATCCAATGCATCTTCAGGTTGGTGGTATCCGTCCATTACTTTGCCTACAGCACTGGATTTATTGTATATAAAGCCGCTAAAGCAGATTTTGAGAACTCCTTTTCATTATTTCTAACTTTTCCACTTATTGCAATGAATGTAGGAAAATTCTAATAGTTTTCATATGGTTTAGAAAATGAAAATCTAAATATTTACCCATGTAATCTGGAGCCATAATGATGAAGCAGGATATTAGCAGTGGGCAAAATAGTTCAAATATGAAGTATTCTATATTTGAAAAAGCCTATTTTGAGTTTGAAACAGCTGCTGACTGCAAACGAGAGTATTTTTATTGCTTTGGAGGTGTAAAACAGCATGGGTTCTTTTTTCACTCAAAATAACTGTTTCAGATTTGAAATGGGTCTTTAAAATGGAAACATTTGGCAAATCCCTCCAAATGTGAATTACTTACTTAGTGGATATTGAAGTAAAACACTTTCTACAATTCCTGTGACAGCAGCACTTATTCTTAATACATGAAACATAATAAAAAAGCAGGTTTCCAGAATGTGCTGAAGAATTTTCCTAATCCCCATGAATCAGTAACCAACTAGAGTCATCTGGATTAAAGAGGAGAGGTTTTTATTCAGAGAATATGACTCCTTGGCTAATTTGGGACCCAATGATTAAAGATGTATTAGAATTCTGATACATATTTTTCTTTAGAAAGTTTTTATTTAAAGCAATTGCATTTCTCAGAGGTTTTTAGAATGAGATGGCTTCTACCAGTAGTACATTATATGAATATCATGAAGTATGGCTGCAGGATTTATGAGGGCTAATTCAGTTCCAGAATAAATTTTCTGTGATCCAACTTGGCCCTGAAAAGAAAGCAATAGTCTAGACAAGAGCATCTAACCTTCCAAATAATCTGTTATCATCAGAGAGAGAGAGAGAGGTTTCTTCTAATCTGTTTTGGTGGATTTTCAAGACTTGGTAAAATATGTCTGTTAAATTTTCTGCCTCTTTTCAGACCCTGAGTCCAAGTGCCTCCATTTTGGAAACTCAACAGTGGTTGCTCAAAAACAGGTTCTCCAATTATTCCAGGGTTTTTGCCAGTTATACAGGTGAGACTTCTTTCCTTCTCCAGGGTGCAGACACCAATAAACTCATCCAAGAGTGTATAACTTTGCAATTTTGCATTTTTCCCAGACCAGAATCTTTTATGGCCTTCTACATCAGATCATAAAATAAACACCACACAAATTTGTTAAATGAGGAAGAACAGCCGTTTTTTCCAGCATTCCTTAAATTAGGAGAAAATACCTACTATTCTGAATAGATTGTGGTGGATAAAGGAAATATCGAAGCTGAATTTAAGTTGCAATTTTCTTATGATAGATGCTTTTTCCTCTTTTTTCTTAAGCTACTCTGCAAGACACCATATATATTGATTATGTGATAAAAATAATGAAAAATGGGCTCTGCCAATCTCTGATATTGCAAATATGAAAAAAAGAATTCTAACTACATTATGGATCATGATGGGTCAGAATAAATATACTAAAATAAACATTTATCCAGTTCTGCCTTGCTCTCTGAAAATGATCTATTATCAGCAAATTCCAAATTCTTTTCTTCCCCCCCAGGAACTGATTTGCTCAAACTGTCCCGCAATGATCTTGTACAGATCTGTGGAATGGCAGATGGGATTAGACTTTCAAATGCTCTAAAAGCGAGGTATGGTGTTATAAACAAAGATAGCAAGCTTATGGATTATTTTAAAAAAACTTTATTAAAACATTATTAAAAAGAGAAATAAACATTGGGAAAGAATGAAACCATTGTTCCAGGAGACCAAAAAAACCTCACAAAGCAGTCCATGAAGTCACCAAAGGTCAAGGTTGAACTTTAATACAAGCACATGGTGAAATGTAAAATCAAGTCTAACCCATTCTCAAAATAAGTATTGTTCTGTGGTTCAGTGATTACATGAGAAGAAAACCATAGACAGGGGATTAACTATTAGGAAGTATTTCAGATTAGACAACAAGGAACTTCCTGACTATTTGAGCTGCCAGCTAGCTCAAGGTCTTCAGAGGCTGGATGGCCTATGGGAGCATGTAGCTAGTCTGGGAATTCTGCACTGAGCAAGAGAATGGACTAGATAACCTCCAAGATACCTTCCTATTCTATGTCTTTATTATTATTTTAAACCTATATATCCCTTCCATACTCTGTTTTACATCCTATTAGCTGTGCTGAGGGCTTGTCAGAGTATAACGCTACAATTTGAATTAAATTCATTCAATTCCCCATTTCCCCAAAGTAACACTTTCTTTTTAAAAAAAATTGAAGATTTTCAAAAACAGCTTAGAGAGAATAGCCAAATATAAAAGAGAATGGGCTCCTTAATCTGAGAACTGAGAAGAGGTTCAAGATTCCTTTTTCTATCAGGCTGCTAAACTTCCTTTTTTGCATCTGGCCATCCCAAGCTTGCAGTGAAAATATACATAATACTTGTGGACTTGAAGGTCTAGCTTACCTATACCATTCAGTAACCATGTCACTAACATGTGGGGGGTGGATAGGTCTGTAGGAGCAGTGGCCTAAAAAAAGTCAAGAAAACAGCCACAACTATGCAACTGAAGCCTCCCCCTTTTATAATTTAGGTGAAAGGAGCAGTACCTCAGTAACACAGAACATATTCTATGTTTCACCTGGATCATAAAAAGGGGCAGGGCTTCAGCTGTGGCTGTTTTCTTGACTTTTTTTTGACCACTCCTCCCACAAACCTCACCACCGTAGTCACTATCAAGTAAATTCATAGCTGATGAGAACTTTGTAGCTAATCCTTGAAATAATTTCATCCTGCCAGGCCTTGGTACATCACAGAAAGTGGCCTGACTTCCTTCTCTTTTTTCTAGGACTGTGCGCCCTCGTCTCATTCTTTATGTGTCCAAGGAACTGGAAATAAGTGGGAACAATGCTCCCCCAAACCCAGCATCTGGTAAGTCAGAATTATTTAATAAAGAAGATTTGGGGGCACCTGTGTATACCTCCTAACAAGCAAGCCAAACATGTCTCCTTTGACTGAGAAGACCTTTTTGCCACACATTCTGTTGTGGTGCTGCTTTGCATTTTTAAAAAGATGCCATATTGCATGCCATGTTTATGATCTATTTAATATTAGCAGTTTTGAAAAGTGGGATCTATGTAAATTTAAGCAAAACAACAAACTGATCTGCAAAGCAAGATCAAGAAGCTCTGGAATTTTCCAGCAAGTAACAGCTGTCCTGGAAGAAGTTTTTCCTACTCACAAAATGATACCCAGGCAGATTTAGCTGGTTACAAAAACTCTAATTTATCCAGAGCAAATCTGATCAAAGTCAGTTCTCATTGTCCCTTCTAAGTTCTCAGCTTTTCTTGCCAGATGGGCATAGCTCTGAATAAAGCACCAAACCATTTTCTAAGAATGCCCAGGGGAGTCATTTAAGGCTTTGAGGCATTCTCAGAAATAATGAGGATGACGGAAGCTAGTGCTTTACATTGCAGCATGCCAGGGAGTTGGGTTTCTTTCTTCTGGTTTTGATGAAAGAGTCTACAAAATAAATTAAGATGAGGTGGAGTGTGGCAAGCAGCAGGGGAGGAATTTGCGGGCACAATGATGCCCAAGGGAGCTACGCTGCTCATTTGGGGGATTACAGTCTCTCCTTCACAACTTTTAAAGCACCGATAGCATAATTTTCTTGTGTAAATTGTTGTAAATCTTTTTTTTAAAATTGTATTTCTTAAATCTGCACAATATTTCATGCACTGATGTTCTTTCCCCAAAAGTTATATACCAGGAGTTATATCTGGAGGAACTGACTGCCACTGAGCTGACTAACAAATTGGCAGAACTGCTTAGTGTCCCAGCCAATCAGGTCCAACAAGTTTCCAAACAGGGGCCTACAGGAATTCACATCCTTGTCAATGATCAGGTATGGAGGAGCCTTATTTTAAGAATGAGCCTTATTCAGCCTTACCTCTCAGAAACACAGAAGATCGACCCCCTTGTCTCCAAAGATTAAAGAATAGAGATTGGAAGATAACAATTATAATTCTTGCAGGATTCTAACCATGCACTTTCAAGGAGGCAAATCTTTGCTTAATGCTGCAGGATTCCTGCTACAACAATCACATCAAAGGGGTCTAATGCCCTCATTTGCTTCTGCTGATCTTTGTACTAGGAAAGCCCTGGTAGTTTCATAGCATTTCTGTAGCATTGTGGCTGGACCCTGTGACCAATCACTATTTATCTCTTTCCTTCTTTGCTTCTCCAGTTTATATAGCTATCCATCTCACTAAAAAAGGGACTCTATTAGGAAGGTGTCTTTAGTGTTGTTTAGTGGTAAGCTTAGAAGTGGATAAGCTTTTTTCAGCTATATGTATCTCCAACTTTTTTTCTTGGAACAACTAAGTAGGATTTAATTAGAAGTGTTTTGCTATTTATATAAACATGGTAAACTGAAGAGAAGAGTTTAATCCCAAATAACCCAAAAGATGATTTGAATAAAACAAGCCATCTCTTGCCCTCTGCTGATTTTAATTGTTCAGTCCATACCCTAGCACCTTTTGTGAGCTCTGCCAGCATTTAACTTTGGCTGATGCCAATGAATTGGCTTTTTTCTTCTTCCATAAAGTAATTTCAGCAGTTGAGAATAGATTATGGTCATATATGCTTCAAAAGACATATTAAACAGGCAATGTTTGATTGGGAAATCCAGAGCAGACCACAATTTCATTATCCTAAATGGTAGAGTTTCAAATTGTGAAAATTTAGAGCAACATCCATAGGACGTGCCCTCCTGATGCTCTGGAATACAACCCCCATAATCTATAGTCAATGTATCTAGAAAATACCAAGTTTGATGGCATTCCCATAGAGTTAACACACACAATCCAATCTAAAATGTGCTCCAAATGGCTTGAGCAAGTGAATTAGCTGGGGAGAGAAGGGGAGGTAAACTGTAACATTTCTCATTTTATGTAATACATACTCAAGCATTCAAAAGCATACTATACAAAATCAACATAGGTGTGGCTCAGAAGTACTTCAGGTAGTAATAAAGTTAATAAAGTCTTTAGTAGTAAAGATAATTCCGAGTAAGTGCTAGAGAATATATGTGTGTATGTATGTATGTATGTATGTATGTATGTATGTATGCATGTATGCAAGATGATAAAAGTTTAAAACTGTAAACTTTTATCATCTTGCATACAGATATAGATGGAAGAGTTCTGGTTAGCTCAAAATCCATGCACATGAGTAATGAGTTATTAGTCATTAAAAACCCCTCAATTTTATTTTGTCAAAAAAATATGGACCAAAACAGCTACCAGTGATTTTTATAGATTATTTTCAGATAAAAGAATGCCATCCATTCAGAAAGGCAAACCAGTAAAATATCCCTGCTTTGCAGATTTCTGGAGCTGAAATAAAGTATTTCCTTGCTTAAGGCCACTTCATCAATTCTTGACAGAAATGAGATTTGAATTGGAGATTTTCTAATTCGCAACCATGATTATTTTTTACTTAACCACAACTGGTAGGGGTCATAGGATAAGTTACTTACTTTGAAAAGTAGATTCAAGATTCAGAGGGATCTCAACAGACAAGATATAGTTCAGTAAGAAAAGTCCTGTACTTGGGCAGGAAAAATAAGATACACAGGTACAGTACATGGCTCAAGAGTAGTAACTGTGAGAAGCATTTAAGAGTCCTGGTGGACCAACACTTAAGTATAAATCAGCAGTGTGCTGCAGCTGCCAAAAAGCTAGTGCATTAAGAGAGGGATAGCATCAAGAAAACAAGAAATGTTAGTACCACTAGTGAGGCCACATTTGGAACATTGGATTCAGTTCTAGTCACCATGATACAACAAAGATGCTGAGGTCTTAGAAAGAGAGCAGAGGAGAGCAACAGAGATGGTAAGGAATCTGGAAGCTAGATCGTATAATGAATGCCTAAGGAAACCGGGTGTATTTGCCTAAAAAAGAAAAGGCTTACGGGAGACCTGATAGCAGTTTTCCAATACTTGAAGGACAATTACAGGAAAGACTGGGTCAATTTATTCACCATAGCACCTGAGGCAGTACAAGAAGCAATTGGGTGGAAGCTTGTCACTTGGAAGTGAGGAGGAATTTCCTGGCAATGAGAACAATTAATTAGAGTTGTGGGTGCTCCATTGTTGGACGTTTTCAAGAAAAGATTGAACAACCATTTTTCTGGGATGGTATAAGGATTCCTGCCTCGGGCAGGGAGTTGGACTAAAACAGACATGTCAAACACAAGGCCCGGGGGCCGGATGCGGCCCGCGAAGTGGTTTCATGTGGCCCACAAAGCCATCCTGGAAACAGTGAGGGAATGGCCCCCGCTGCCTTGGCCCTGGCCCAGGCCGGCTGGGAGCCAGTGTACTATTTTGTGGTGGCCATCTATGCTGAAACGCATTCAGTCTTACTCCACAAGGCCATCCAGAAACAACAAGGAGCCAGCCCCTGCCACGTTGGCCCCACTCCCTGGGTGCATACTGGGGAGGTGTCACCCTCTGTGAGGAATGAAAAAATGCACATGCCTTGGCGCTTGCCCCAGTCCTACCCCCTTCTGCCAGAGACCCTCAGATCTGTCCCAGTCCTGCCCAGGCCCCCACAGGCACCCTTGACGTGAACGATGTAGAGCTGGCCATGCCCACCCAGTAGGCCACACCACTCCATCCATGCCCACCCAGTAGGCTGCACCCACCCTAGCCACACCACCCAGCCCCTCGAGGGCAACCGCAATGCTGATGCGGCCCTCAATGAAATTGAATTGACACCCTTGGACTAAGAGATCTCTAATGTTCTAATCCTATTATTCTAAGTTTGGGTACCAAAAGTATTTATGGACAAAATAATGATGGAGATAAATGTTTTGTTCTGCAACAAACCAGTCTTCTATATTCTTTTATAAGTAAAAGATTATAAAAATTAAAAATACAAAAACGTGAGGTGGGACCAAACCCCTCTTAGATTCTGAGAGGTAATTATAGCATATGCACAATACTGTAGTAGCCACAGATGCCATTCTGGAGATCTTTAAATCAAGTCTGATATCTAAATAAAAAAAATGCAAGTTCTGGTCATTCACCTGTTCAAAACTGCACTTTGCTTAAGCTTAGAAGCAGTGATACTTTACACAAACTATTTGGGGGATTCTTACATTAACAGAGTTTCAGACAAACTAAATTACATTTCTATTAAGTCTCCCTCCCCCAAGATCCTTTGACAGCCCATTTTTTTCTCTGTACATATGCACACACTGCCACTGACTTTTATACATCTTGACAATCTCACTTTATCATATTGCCATCTGTTGCTGAACTCTCCCTCTCCAGCAACTAGTGGTTATTTTTTAAAAAAAAAACAAACACAGGCATTTAGAATTCTAGCCAAGAACTAACTTTGCATTGTTGTCTCCTGGTTATCACAGATGGTCAAAAACCTTCCAGATGAATCTTGCTTCATAGCAGCTGTAACAAAAGGTAGGTAGATCTGCCTGTGAAAGGAACAGATTTCTGACTTATTCAGAACTGATAAATTTATTGAAGCCTGAGTGTGTGTAGACAAGAACCCATTATTCAATTTTGGATATACTCTCAGTTGGCAAAGTGTGCATGACACAGTGGACACAACTCCAGAAATTTTTTTTTTTTTTTTTTGTTACAAGAAGCCTGAGATAGTATAGAGATTCCTTCTTCATTTAATGGACCCCACTTCCTTCAACTCTGTTTTAGGAGGTTTAATGGGGGCATTGAGGAGGTGGCATTAGTGAAAATTATTACAGGTAGTTTTCGACTCACAACGGTTCATTTAATGATCATTCAAAATTACAACAGCACTTTAAAAAGTGTCTTATGACCATTTTTCACATTTAGGACCATTGCAGCATCCCCATGGTCATGTGATCACAATTCAGGCACTTGGCAACTGACTCATATTTATGACAGTTGTAGTGTCCGGGGGATCATGTGTTCACCTTTTGTGACTTTCTGAAAAGCAAAGTCAATGGAGAAGCTAGAGTCACTTAACAATCATGTTATTAACCTAATTGCAGTGATGAACATCTGTGTCAAGATAGATCATAAAATAGGGCAAAACTCACTCAAAGTCTCACTTAGCAACAGGAAACTTTCAGCTCAGTTTGATTGTACATTGAGGACTATCTGTATTTCCCTCAATACTTGTAATACTTCCAACCAGAGGAACCAGAAACCAGGAGGCAGGGGTCTTTTTTGTTATCAGTGTCACTTGGCAGTTCACATTCTTTGGGCTCTGTAATTTTCCCTACTTCCCTCCCCTTCCCCATATTATGGAACAGGATTCAAGCAGTGACCAGACTCAAACCTGCTTGAGATTCTTTGCAATATGTCACTACATAAATACAAGGTATTTCTTTAAGTTAGCAGGAGAATATTGCACATATAGTGGTAGACAGTGGAGTCCTGAAAAAATATTATACTTATCCAATTAAGTATACAAAGCACAACAAATTCATTTAATATTTCAGCAGAGGGGGAAGTAACTTAAAATATTCCTTTAGAGCAGACATGTCAAACACAAGGCCCCAGGGCCAGATGCAGCCCATGAAGTGGTTTCATGTGGCCCGCAAAGCCATCCTGGAAACAGTGAGGGAACGGCCCCTGCTGCTTTGGCCCTGGCCCAGGCCGGCCGGAAGCCACTGTACAATTTTGTGGTGGCCATCTATGCTGAAATGCATTCAATCTTAGCTCCACAAGGCCGTCTAGAAACAGCGAGGAACCAGCCCACTGCGTCAGCCCCGCCCCCTGGGTGCATGCTGGGGAGGTGTCACCCTTTGTGAGAAAAGAAGAAATGGACCATGCCTTGGCGCTTGCCCCCGTCCCACCCCCTTCTGCCAGAGACCCTCAGATCTGACCCATTCCTGCCTAGGCTCCCACAGGCACCCTTGACGCGAACGATGTAGAGCTGGCCATGCCCACCCAGTAGGCCACACCCACTCCATCCATGCCCACCTAGTAGGCCACACCCACCCTGACCACACACCCCTCGAGGGCAACCGCAATGCTGATGCGGCCCTCAATGAAATTGAGTTTGATACCCCTGCTTTAGAGGCTTTTGAAGAAGACTGCAAAAAATCTCCCTTTGAAGCAATCTCTTTGATTTTTTTTCTAAGTTACAAAAATAGACCCTATAATTACCCAATACTGGCCCATCCTAAGGATGAAAACTCCCATTGTTTTTAGGAACAACTATTTAAAAAGTGACTTGGTTTTGTCTTGTCTTATGTGTCACTACAGTACAGAATGCCGAAGGCTACCATTTAGTTCTAAAATAAACTAGGACCTTCTTGACGGTGTGCTACTGGCTTGCAAGAAGACGGGGAGCTGAAAGATGCAAAAGCAGGTGCAATAAGAATATTAATAGCAATACTCCACAAATTGACTCTACACCAATGAACTCAAGGCTGACATCATCCGAGACAGATCTTAGCAACAGGAATCTGTACTGAAATAAACTACAGGGATTTTTTTTCCATATTTTTTTGCAAAAAGAAAGTGGCAACCATGTCACCACTTACATAGACTCCAAAGAATGATGTATATTATCAACTGATTATCTAATAAGTTGCAAGCAAAATGACTATTTGCATAATTATCAGTTTCTAATGATATCATTTGCAAAAGTCCACATTTTTTGTTAGGAGGAAGATGGTTGCTGTAGTGATGAAACCTGATAAAGTGCTTTTAAGAGAATGAACATATGGGTATTGATGCTTTACAAACTCAATAATTCTCCCTTGCAAGAGGGAGGGGGCAATCACAGACTGATTATGCTGTAAAGGGAAGCAAGCTATAGTCGAGAGTATTTCTGTGTGGGAAACTCATCCTCTAGTCCAGGGGTGTCAAACTCGCAACATCACGTGACGTGTCATGACATATCACGGCTTTTTTGCCATTGCCGGCAATGGGGTGGGCGTGGTTTTACTATGATGCACCTGGCCCATGGGCTGGCAGTTTGACACCCCTTCTCTAATCAATTTATTTGCAAGGCAAATAAAAAAGCCCCATGTTTTTTGGTTGGGCCTTTTCTACAAATAATGTTTGCAGCCTCTGTGATGAAGGTGAACAGCCATGCTCACTGCACAGATGGTGCATCAGTCAATTACCTGGAATTGTGGAGAATGCTATAGGGCCATCTACTTTTGCCAATTTCTATAAAAATGCCCAAGCAATGCAGAGCTTTGCTTTTCAACTGATTATTAATGGTTAGCTCAATATGACAACACTAGAAAATGTTAGGTTGAAAAGGAAACCTCTTTAGGATTTGCTTTTCATTCTTCCCTTAACCAAAAGGCAGATTTGTCTGTGCACTCATTAGGGTTGCAATTTTATTAGTGTAGCTTTCTTTGATTTTGACAATTGACGTGCCAATTGTTTTTGTCAGCTTCTACTGGAAAATATAATTAGATATTGATGATTCTTGGTGGAGAAATTCAAAGAGTTAAGGTCATACAAGAGACTATGTAACAATCTTCCATAAATATCAAATTATTATATATTCTAACCACCAGGGCAAGCAAAGAAACTTCTTCAAACATTTGTTATTTTTACATTTATAAAATACAGATTACGGGACATTGGATGTCAACTTTTGCCAGCATTTTAATTTAAAAAGCCAATCAAATATTGAAATGGATGATTGGATGATTTTCAAATAGTTTAGTTTGCACTTATTCATTTGCTTATCTATGAATAACCATTAGTGACCTCAACAGTCCTTGACATTTGAGTAAATGTGCACAGAATCTTGCTATTAAATAATGTATCAACAAAGAAAGTGCCTGTAACCCATTAGCTTTTACATTTTTTCATAAGAAACATTTCTGGATTCATATGGCTTAAATCATTATTTCACTGCAATCTTTTTTAAAAAATTTATTTGGATATTATTATTATTATTTTGTTTAAGCTTTTTATATTAAAACATGACTGTAGCTTTCTGCCATCTGTTACCAGTTGGGTGGGGGTTTTTTGTATTGATTTCTAAATTCTGCACAATAGGAAAGCGGCAACATAATTATAAAGTAATCAAGAGCATCTATTTTTATAAGAAATAAACATAATGTATTAATGCAAACACATATGAAGTGCTAAGTCAAGAGCGCAAAGCACGCCTATCCCTTTGAATAGTGATCCAGTTTGTGATGCAGAACTTATGTGATGTTTAAAAAACTTTTGCCTTTCCTAAGCAAAGGAAATCCCATTTAAATTTGAATGTTCGGAAAGTTGACCATCTTAATATTTTAATCAGTTTCCAGATATTAATGAAAGCTTTAACCTACAACATTACAATTTACCAACTCAAAGCTTTCTTCATATACCATATTCTAAATCTGTGTTTTGTTGTACAGGATATGAGGAAAACACTTGTTTCAGGTAGGTATTGATTGGTAACTTTACTGTTGCTGATAAATTTTGCTAGCAATATTGTACAATACAATAAATTTAGGTCTGCCCTTTGTAAAGTGGGGAGAAATCTAAAATTACTCCAGGGAAATTATTTGGAACATGTAAACTTATTACGTTTTAATTAAGATATGTTGATTTTCAATCTTCATACATTGACTATTTTTGATCTGTCCTTTTATATTGTAGTAGATGGATTTGTTATGAAAACCATTTGATATGCCACAGACCTAGCATTAATTTCCAAAGAGAGTTAATACTTACAATACAGCATACCATAGATTTTAGAATTCCAGTTAAATAGGTTACACTCCTGTTTCCATTATTTTGGAGCACAAGAATTCCTTGTGCATTAACTGTGCATCCAAATCTAAATTAATTCTAAAAGACAATTTGAAGACCACTTAAATTACCCAATGTGTTCCTCCAAATTTCTTCTTGGGAAGCTTTTTCTCATGGTGACAGAAGGCCAAGTATTGGGAACTAGGTAATTTTTTGCAACAAGTTTCCTACACAATGAACTTGATCAAGGTTGTAATATAAAATAGAAACACATTGATCCATGTGCTTATTTTGGTTGTAGTAAATTGCCATTATTACATCTGCAGTAGTTTTCAGTAGCAGTGAATACACAGATTCCATGTTCTTGAAATGTACAGATTTCTCTATAGTTTATACTTAGGGGACTAAATGGCAAGATTTCCATGTGAATGTCTAGTATATTTGTTAAAGAGAATTATGCTCTATATATCCAAAGTAGCTTTTTTCACACTAAGCAAAATATCAATTGTTGTATAAATGCAATCTTAAAATTTTAAAACAGATACTCTATAGTTTCAGGAGTAAAATGTTCAATAAAACACTTATTTAATTAAAAAGTGCTTGTGTGAGTGCTTTGACACTGGTTTCCTAGGGAATTGATTGAATTCCATTATATTACGATATTAGGGTTCTAAATTCTATATATATTTGGTATATAAACTTCAAATACCCAACGTCTGGACAATCCCCAGGGACCTATGCAAGGGTCCTTTTTGCAGACTTCAGTACTGTTATTCCAGTAATTCTTCGTTCTAAACTGATTCAGCTAACTGTGCCTGTCCATACTTGTAAACAGATTATAAGCTTTCTGACAGATAAAAAGCAATAGGTGAAGGTTGGGAAAATCAGATCAAACACCCCCAGGGCTGTGTGCTCTCCCCGTTACTTTTTTCTCCATATACCAATGACTGCACCTCTTAAAGATCCCTCTGTTAAAATATTGGATTTTGCAGATGATACAATAGTCATTGGTCTCATGCAAGATGGTGATAAGTCTGTTCAATGGGAGGTTGAACAACTGGTGCAGATGGAACAATCTGGAGCTGAACATGCTTAAAACTAGAGATAAGAGTGGATTTTAAGAGGAGCCCTCCTAGTCTACTACCCCTTACTGTATCAGACAACAGAGTATCAACAGTAGTCTTCACAATGCTGAACTGTTAATTTCCACAGTTCTATCTTATAGCTAAGTATATTACTAAGTATATTTGTGAATAATTGCTTTAGAATTTTGCAATATCACTGTATTAGCATACCTTGAGCATTAGATTTTATTGACTCAGCAGAGCGGGAGGTTCTTCAGATCAGTCATTGAAGTCATTCCCAGGACATTTACTATGTAATTCAGCTGAAATGTCAGTATTGTTTTCCAAAATAGATAACACAGCATATGTCTAGAGAGTTCTGTGCAATTTTTTGCTGAGGCATTTGCTGTTACTGTTTAGGTACAGACATGTCCAATGCCAATATTAATATTTTGACATCTCAGGTTATTGTGATTTCTAATTAAATAAGAAAAGATTAAAGACTGTAAATTATAATAATAATAGCCTTCTAACTATAGTCAGCATTTTACAGTGGAGAATCTCCCCCACCATTGACTCATGTTTGAGGCAAGACAAAAGATTCAGATGGTATTTCTTCTGGGGGAAGACAGACACCATCCCTCTTTCAAAATTTATTATGAAAGTAGATATGTAATCAGTTAAACCTTATTGGAAGCTCTGTGTGATTTTGGTTTTTGGTTAGTAACTGGGTGAGCTCGACTCTAATGTAAGCGCAATGTATATGTTTTTCTATTACAGAGCAGAATGACCTGGTGGGTGGGATTTTATACCTGAATGCCTTAAACCTACCTGCTAAAGACAGCTTGACTGAGGCATGTAAATTAAGCTTGTGTTTTACAAAATAGGATACCAGAAAAGTATGCATCAGAGATATCTTTGGAGACATTTGTGTCTCGCCTCATGGCAAGACGGCAACAAACAAATTTAGTAAATAAAATATGGGTAAAAGAGTGGGCATACTTGGGGTCTTTTAGGCTACTTTGGTATAGGAAACAACCAATGAAGTTCTGCAACCCAAATGGGTCTGTTGAAGATGAGAAGACTTAAATTCTGAATTCCTCTGTTCTGTTCAAATAAAACTTAACAGCCATCTGACATCCACGTTTTTGCCAAACACCCTCTAATTGTACATTAAGGCTAAGATAGGAGGGGAGAATCAATTTCTGAATCTGGGGGAAGACTGAATTCATCTAAGGCACAAAGGCTGGATACAAGTATAGCAATGGGGTCCAGCTGCATTATATAGAATGCATTAACTTGACATTAGTGGAAAAGTAAAGGCATAACATAGATCTTTGATCCAATTAATATATTTACTGCCTTTACTCCTTGGTTTGGGAAGTCTGAGATGAATTTCTCAGTTTTGTGATCATACATGTTTTTAGATCAATTGTCAACCTCAGGAAGATTAACAGGATTTGTTCAAGCATTCCAGAATTAGGCTGTATTTTCAGGATAGGTCTTTCAATTGAGCTAATCTATTGTGTTATGGTCTGGACATGTTCATTTATGGCAGTTATCTGTATGTGGTAGGGATTGATTGATTTCCAGGAAAATCAACCCTCTTTGGTGTCAAGAATAGCACTAACATGCTATGAACTGGGCGATAGTGGGTTCTTTTTAAAATTATGATTATAACGCCCAGTTCTTTCAAAATCTGCAAAAATCTTTTTCCTGTTCAATCTAGGATGACTGAATCAGTATATCCTATAGGCAGGAGTGCATGGGGATATGAGATTGGCTATACTGATTACCATCAATACCTCAAGAGCTGTTGAATGGAAGATAAGGGGTACCTGAGAAATATCTAAATAAACCTCTTGTCTTTCTTGAGATATTCTATATTGGATGTTTTCATCCCAAACCTTTAATATTTGATATGGCAATTTATACATTACATATCCAAACTAAAAAAATGTTCAGGAATAATGACGAATGTGAAATACAGTATCTTGAATGATATCTTTTTCTGTATTGAGACAAGAACTTCATTTTGTCTTATGAAACTTGCGGGAGGGCATATAACAACTTAGTGTATATGCACTGTTGAACTCTACCATGACACTTGTGACTCTCTTTAGATTATGTGTAGTTATACGGGTTCATTATGTGGGCACATCCCGTTAGCCTCCCGCCTATAGAGTTTTTGCCACTCCTCACAATTCTGATGATTTTCCCATTCAATCCTAAAATGTTATATGCTTCAGGCAAGAAGAGGCACAAAGCAGGCATGTGAGCTGCAAAGAAAATATCCACTAATTGTGCGTCATAGGAATTCTTAAATTGGAAAAATTCTTAAATCCTACTTTGTATTGGGGGTTTTACAGAATTTATTAACCTGAGGTAAATTTGCATGTGTGAATTCTGGGGCTGGCTATTGGTGGCTCATAGACTGTTCCCCTCCTTTCTGTCTGTTCTTTAATGGAATTATCTAAATTGCATAGAGACCAGGACACTTCCATTAGATGTTCAGCTCTTTCCCGTCTGATGGCAGCCCGGGCATCGACAACTGCAGTCAGGAATGGAATACGGGGATTGCTGCAGAACTTCTCCTCACACCTTGAGTTGATTCGATTAGGAAGACTCTAGGACTTTTCCCATCCTTTTCGTCTCTTATTATACAGGGCAGATACTGAGATCATAGCCTTCCCTGGTAGTCTCTGGGAATAAATGCTGAGAAATTGGAAGTGATGGTTCCTCTAAAAAGGGTGAAGAGAAACAATACCTAGCATGCTGGATTTTTTTTTGCTTTCCACTGCCCATGCTACCTAGCGATGGCAACAAATTCTGTAGCAGCTATGCTGGTCACATGGTTTGTAGCCAGTAACTCAGCAATTATGGTGTTGAAGAGATTTTGGAAATGAAGTGAGGCGAGTGCATCGGCGTGTAAATACATACTAACTTTATGGCCCAGACCCAGCTTTGAAGGAATTCTGATGTATCTCCAGGTTGGACATTAGGAGTTCTTGCTAATATGCTTTGTGGGCATATCAGTCTAGAAAAGGAGGAAAATTAGGACAAGGGAAGAAACAGTCTGAAAATAAAAGGTGTCCTAGACAGAGCTGATGGGCATAAATGCTCTTGGGAAAATAGCAGAGCCAAATCTGGGAATGGTGCTTTTAGAAACATTAGTATTTTCTCGCCTTGCCTTGTAGAAAGGGAGATATCCTACTGTAGAATGTCTTGGCTCCATTTCATACAAATTATTTTAACACATCAATTTAGAATCATGAAACTGTTAAATTCTATTTCTTCACTCTGATCTTTTTTGTGAAGCAGTTTAGTCATACATCTTCATCAAATCCAGCTCCTGAGTTTGGACAACCCATAGAGTTTTAGAGAATGGGAAATGTTCATCACATAATACATTCCTCAGATCAAATCTGATGTTTGTCAAAGCCAAGATTTTTTCTAACATTAATCATTAATACTAAGACTCATCTGCTCTTTGAAGCAGCAGCCAGACATCCAGGTAAATAATGGAGTAATAACACCCTTGTTTGTCTTTGGGGTTCTAACTCCAGAAAATGCAGTCCATTATTGGCAATTATGGCAAATCCTTATTTAGTGTCATGAATGCAAGTAAAATGCATATTTTGATGCTGAATCTTAAAAATCCATAGAAGAAAACCCTAGAAATTCATCTTACCAATTTGCTCAGTCTTTCTCTCAACCCCAGATGTGACATAATTACAGCTATTTCTATCTGTACCCTGATCAAGTAGCCCTATATTACTGTTAGACAGATTGGAACATTTAAGAGAACCATTTAAACTGAAAATATAGTATATGTAATGTAGCAAATATTTCCATTCATCCTAAGGGGCTGTGCACATGAGTAACACATGACATTTATCCCATGTTCATAGAAAAAAAAATCCAAAACAAAGCTTTATTTTCAAAGCTTTGCTAACCACTGACAAGGTGGTAACATATACAAGTTTCTAATTTGTTCTGGATAATAATCACCATCATGGTGTTTAGGATTGAAAAGAAGGAATTACACTGTAACACTGGATCAATAATATATATTAGAGTTGATAATCAATAATTGTGTTTCCCTACTTGAGCCAGATGATCATTTAAAACTATAAATTAGAAGAGATTATAGGGAAGAGAGAAATGACATTTAAAAAATTATTTTTTAAAAAATCTTTTGGAACAGTCTAAATTTAAACTTCTATAAAAGCTATATATTGGTGGGGGTTGATAAAATTCATTGTAAATGTTTGTGTAAAAAAGCAGGTATCTGTGCAAAAAGAAATTGTGAATATAGAGATCATAGCACAAATTTCATACGGAGCAATGAGAAAACATATTTTCTGATCTCTAAGTAAATGTGTTGCTAAGAAAAATAAAAATAATGTCACAGAATGATTTAATAAAACAGTGGAATTCTACCTCACCTTAGAATAATTAAGAAAGTTTTTAAAACATCTATAAGCTTGGCAAGGGAAAAATAAATTAATGTAAAATATGGGAGGTTGTCTGGATACCACGTTGCAATCTGTGCTGGGCTTTTGCTTCCAGAAGTGGGTGAAGACCACCGTCCCTTTAAAATCTAACTTACTAACTACTAAGTAACTTAGGGAATACTTAATGTCTCTTGCCTTGTTGTCTTTCTGCCTCCCTGATCTTATCAACTGAACATTCTGAAATATTGCCATTTCCAGGGTAGGTTTCAATTTCTTGTATCAACAGGGTGTATTGAGACAATAGTAAAATTGCCCTGATGTTTGAAATACATAGTGTTCAAATCTGAAGGCTGAGATGAGTGTGATATTATAATGGGAGTTTGCAATCCAAACAACCAAAGAACCTCATTGGGAAAGATCTAAACTCTACGTTAAATTTTGCAGTCAACTGTCCTGCAAAAGAAAAAGAAACCTGTTATGTAAGTCATACTGTGTCAAATACTGGTACAGAAGGAGAAAAAGCAGCACATCCAATAGTTTGAATGGCAAAAGCAAATGATAAATATTCACTAATAAGAAGTATGTATAAAAGCAGGACATTGGGTATAACAGAAAGTATATAATGACCTTTGGCAAGTGTTTTGGAGTTCCATTTGCATTATTTGTGAAGAGAATGTTGGAATGTTGCCGTATCATCCCCACAGCCCTTTGAAACCATGTTTGACACTAAAAATGGCTTCTGAAAATTGATTCCAGTGTTTTTTGAAACACTGAAACAGCTTTAAGCAAATCAAACCAAGTTCAGTAAATATATCCTTCAGTGTTGAACTGGATGGACCTTGTGAATTTTTCCATCATGAGTTCTACTTATTTCTAAATAAAATGCAAACATCTGATGTAGTTTCTATAAATATCCAGCTATTTGAAAAAGAATTTTCCAAGTTCATCTAATAACGGAAGAGGGTATTTGTCACTGAAATTAGAATAACCTATTTTTATATACCATTTCTGATTTATGAGGCACCCATTCCTTTGGAAGTGATTATAATAGACAGAAATTCTCTCTTCTCCCCAGATTGCATTACTTCTTTAAAAAAATGTAGAATAATCTTTATAAAAGGGTTTTTGCTTTTATAACTTCAACCCATTTCACAGCTGTTTTAAAAGCTTTATCTCCTAGTGGTATAAAGATGCCTTTTTGAAAAGAAATATTAACTTGGCATGTGTATTATATGTTCAGTCATTTCATACAGTTTCAGATTTAGACATCTAGTTTATATAAAAAAGAAGATACTGAGGAGAATGGGGGGAAAAAGATAGCAGGCCTGACATTACAGATTTCTAGCTTTATCATCACAACAATCTAGGAAGCCTCTGAGCCAAATATTATAAAAGAAGAGAAACTGCTGAACCTCCAAGATGAGCATGCTCAGTGTATGTGCCGGCACAGAAAACAAGGAAGTACAGAAGCGCAGGAATCTACATCTCACAATGGCTGCTGTTTTAACATTCCTTAACACATATATGATTTTTTTTTCTTTTAAAATAAAAAATATACCCAAGGGCATTGTGTTTTCTTTTTGCTTTGTACATTTTCCTCCTACTGAACAGTATCTTCAAGGTTCAGTGCTCATGTTTGTTCCTCCTCAGTTATAAATCTCTCCTTCAATCCCAACATCATTTTTTTTTGCTGCTTTCAGTGTCAAAAGAACAACTTCTCCCTCTCTTGGAAGCAACAGCAGTTCTTCTGAAGTGCGAAGTGATTCAACCAACAATTCTTTTCTCCCACCCGCCACCCCATGATTTCTTCTGAGCCGGCTTTGTAGGAATGGTTTACAATTATAGCAATCCACCCACGGGGCAATGGGGGGAGGGGGGAAGGGGATAAAGTTCCCATAGATTTAGGTCCTCAGTTTCAGAGACCTTCAGTCTATTGGAATAAGTATGTATATATTAGAGTGTGTGTGTGTTTGTGTGTGTGTGTGTGTGTGTGTGTCTTTTTATGTGGGATAAAAAAGGGGAACAATGTTTTGCACCAGCTTCCCCTGTTTTGTTTTCCAAAGGCCCTGGTGAAAGAGCACTGGCATCATTTTGTTGGCAGAGATACTGGTGTCCACTGTAACTTCTAGAAGGGTAATTTAAATACTCAGTTTGTTTTTCACAAGGTAGACTGGCTCTCACGTCATAGGATGATGCAACATCTGCAGAAACGCTGTCTGCTGCCCCCCACAGATGGTGGTGGAGTTACAGGTGCAAAGTAGGCGTGGACTTTAATATTCGGTAAGTGGGTCTGAAAAGACAAACACATTTTTTCCCATTTAGAAAAACTTTAAAATACCAAAAACATGAACAAAGATTGTAAACTTAAAAAGTTGAACATGAAATAATATTAGACCCTTTTTATGCAGAGAAAATATTATGTAAAAAAGTTGAACATGAAGTAATATTAGACTCTTTTTATGCAGAAAAAATATGCTGTAAGAGCCAGAAAGATATTTTAAGGAAAACCAATGGGTTGTTTCCAATCTTCCCCAGTTTAGTTTTATGCATATGTATTTTTTTTTTACTTCAATATTTTCTCTATTATCTGGTTGCTTCTGTAAAGAGAACTTCCCTTAATCTCACTTTCTGTAGATTTGTAAAAGACACTGATTCACACATGAAAACAAAATTGAGGTGTAGGGACACAAACATGCATGACTGAAGGGCTATTTCATCATCAGGCCAAGATGTAACATTTGGGTCAGCAATTAAGTTATTAGGATGCTTGAACTGTGTAAATAATTATCTTATTTGAGCTCCTTTAAATAATGTGCAAGGCTGTGCAAGGGCTTTTCTGCACTGAGAAGAATCTAACTAGTGTCCATGAATATCACCATTCTCTCAAGAAAGCATGGAAGGCCCTCAAACAATCAAAATATCTCAGATGAAGGAAGGAAGTAATGAGATAAATTAAATTTTGGCTATCTATTAAAAGGATATATTTTTATAGAAAATTACCAATAGTCACCTGGTCCTATGAATACTTAGTAAAGTTGGAAACTAATTTCAATCTCATTCTTAACCTACCAGGCAACAAGTCTTAGATTTTGATTTACTATTGATTTGTCAGATTTATGTCCTGTCTTTTATCTCAGCTGTTTACATGGAAGTCTGTTCTAATTTTATCTTATAATTATCACAGCCCTGCAAGAAAGGTTGGACTGAGAGAATAACTGACTCCCAATTTCCAGTGCATTCTGTGGGTGAATGGAGCCTTGAAGCTATAGCTTCCCAGTTGAAACTGAATACTAAGTCTAATATGCTGACATTATGCCATATATTCTTACTTTCAGTTTGAAGAATATGTTCTAAGTAGTTGCAGCTATTGTTAGGATGAGAAAAGAGTTAAATAAGTACAGGAGCTAGAACTGTACATACATCAATCTATCAAACAATGTAAATGTATTCTTACCCTGAGTCTCTTAATTCCAGCTCGGGTAATCTGTTGGCAATCATACAATTCTATCCTTTCCAGGCTGTGGCAGCTCTTGAGGTGTTCCAAGGAGGCATCTGTGATCAAGGGGCAGTTATCCAGCTCAATGACCTCCAAACGATCATGGGCACAGGCACCGTTGCCTAAATGGCGAATACCATCATCAGTGATCAGCTCACAGTGTGATAAACTCTGCCATTAAAAGAGAAAACAAAGCAACAGGTGGTAATCAAGACTTGGCTATGCAGATTTTTTCAATCTAATTTACCAGACCCAGGCCTCAATTATCCTCTACAATCTGTTCTGCTGAAATTCTGCACAATCCTTCAGGTGAAAATATACAGGCCTCAGGGATTCTCTTTTCTTCAGATAAGAACCCCAATTCCATGTATACTTTGGGTAACATGTCAATTCCTCTCTGCAATTTTTAAATTTGAATCATAGGTAAATGATCTCCAAAGTGATTATGGATGGCTTACAAATGTTAAAACAATCGCAGTTTAATAAAACCAAATGCTTGATGTCATACACAATTCAATTCATAAATATATCATATCTACATTGACTAGCAAAGCTACAAGACTCAGACACGTGGGGGAACAGCTAAGTGTGTAACACATTAATCCTAATCTCCAGAAGAGTGTTCTATAGCAGGGGTCTTCAAACTTGGTCTTTTTATGACTTGTGGACTTCAACTCCCAGAATTCCTCAGCCAGGCCTTCCCTTTTCTCCTCTTCAGATTTCTGCAGAGGCTAGTGTTTTTTTCAAGTTATTGCATACTTGGCCCTTTTATAACATATAAAAGCTATTTAGGGTGACATTTAACAGGCTGCAGTCCTATTCAGGGCATTTATGGAATATTGAGTTTTATCTGGTTGTATGTAAAGTATATGTTCAGCTGTATAACTCAGCCTCTTAAAGGTGCTCTTCAACTAAAATATATAATAAAATATTCTCTTGGCTCTTTTGACTCATATTCTAAAATTCTATAGTACAGATGAAAAAATGGGTTGGGTAAAATGTTAGCCTGCAAGAAAAATATTAACTCACCAAAACTTGGAGCAGTGGACAGTGTATGGAAAGCTGAATTAAGGTGCTGTCTGTTATCTGGAAGAAAACAAAGACATGTTTGAAACTAAAACTCTGTATTGTACTGGCAAGGAGTTTCATATGCATCATTTTGTGTTAGCGTTCTTCCAGACACAACATAAAGTTTGAAGAGGAGGATTGCTAGGAGAAGTACTGATTTTTCTCTGGTCATTTCCAAAATAAGGATTTTGGGTGGTGCCAAAAACCAAAATGTGAATTGCTTAATATAGAAAGTACTGTATTTCTTTTTCTGTTCCAAAAGTTTTATTAGTTTATAGTATACGATACAATGAAAATACAAAAGTAAATAGCGGAAAAGATAGGGAAGGGAAAAGGAAGTGGAGAAGTGAGGTAAGGGAGAGAAAAATTAAGAAGAGGCATTGACTTCTGACTTCCTTTGGTAAAGTAAAGTAGAATATCAACATCAAACTTCAACTTTTTACTTTTACAAAATAATATAAACTAGCCATTTCAATAACATCAAGTCTATCTAATTGGTAAAACCCAAAATCAAAATTTCATTTTTTCCACCTCAAGCACAAGCTGAAAGTATTGTATTTCTAAGCCAATAATAACTCTAGGGTATCCATAAATTAGATAAAGTGTCTCTTTCTAATTCAAATTATACAGGATTTTTCTCAATAGGATTTAAAATTTGGGGCTCTTTACAATTAATAACTAAGAGGAACATTAATCTGAAGAAGACCTGAAAACTCACTTAATCACAAATTAATTACTGCTGACAATTATGGAGGGATCTGATTAAAAGAAAAGAAGCAGCACAAGACCATGGAGAACTGAAATCAATCCTCTGTACTTTAAAAACTTTTTCTCTACTTTGTTCCTCTTATTCCCAGGCTGATACTAAGGATACTGGTAGATGACATACCAGTTGTTTCCCATCATGTAATCTAATCCTTTTCCTAGTTATTATGTCTGTGAATCTTCATAATATAATGGTATGCAACTAAACTGATTAATCTCCAAAGTAGCAGCAGAGCAGAAGCTTTGATATATTCTCAAACTCTCTGGTAATGTGTAATAAAGAATGGAAATGGGATGTTAGGAAACTGCATAGACATTTTTCCTTGTTTGCTTAAAGCAGCCAATGAAGCACAGTGAGGAAGCTTTCTGCCTTATGTATTGCACACTTTGAAAGATGTTTACTGGACCACAAAAGAGAAAAGTGGAAGTGGATCAGCTGTTTCCCACTAGACTAGAGCAAGCGTGTCCAACCTGCGGCCCAATGGCTGTATGGGGCACTGGATAGCTAAGTAATGCAGCCCTGTAAGACCATAAACCTTTAACATTATTATGTGTATTTATATTATGTTAACTATATTATATATTTATATGTGGCCAAAGACAATTCCTCTTCACTCTGTGCAGCCCAGGCAAGCCAAAAGATTGGATATGCCTGCACTTGTTCTAATTCTGAATTTCATTACAAAGTCAATAAATGTGATTCAGAGACTTATTTCAACTTGTGGCATTACAACCATGAATTATCTTCCTTAGGTAAATAACCCATTATATATTAGTAATACCCCATCTTCATCATTACAGAGTGGTCTCACAGCCAAATTATCACTCAAAAATATTTCTTGCTTCACTGCTTGCTATGATGCTCAAAAGCAAAATCAAGCATATTCTTGATAAATTACAATTTCTTTTTCATTAGATAACTTTTAACTACATAATCTAGAAAATAGGTTGAAAATAGTACAATTACCTGAACACATTCCTCCAAGTCCATTTTTTCAAGTTCATGACAATTCTGGAAAACATACACATTAAAGATTAATTTGTTTTTGAAACATGTCCTGGTATTGCAGAATAGTTTCATTTGTTACTAGGAAATAATTTCAGTGTAAGCAATTGGAAAACTTACTTAAAAATAAGGATAAAAAAAACAAGTTTGCCAGAGAACTCGATTACATGTAATGTATTAAAATTGTTTTAGGGCAAGTTAATTTTGTTCAGAAATAAATATGGAAATATATTGCTCCCCCCCCTTTCTGACTTGACTCTAAAAAAACATAAAAGTTTGCAGTCGCAACAGATTATATAATTTTACTGAAATTCTGTCAAAGCAATTTGTTCTTATTCCATGAACTGAGTTTTATTTTTAGCACTGGATGGTATGTAACTAATCAAATATACTTCAAATGGGTTACATTAATGAGGCATAGGTATCTATGCATTATGGCCTTAAACCAGTCACTGATCTCCATGTTATTACATTTCAATTCCTATCATATTCAACCACTGTGACCAGAGGTGAAGTATGGGCATGGTATTTCAAGAACAATGGGGCCCAAGACTGGAGAAAGCTAGTTATAAAATACAAGAGTAAAAAAAAAAATTAAAATTAGAGGAAAAAGTTTTGTAATATTTGCACTAAATTTAGACTGATGGATAAAGCACCACCAATAAAAAATATTAACTTGCTGCATCGTCTATTCAACCACATCAAGCATCTATAACACTATTAAATTACAATCATCTTAAAAATTCTTGGAAACACATATTCTGTTGAGCTCAGAATTCTGGTTCTTTTCTGATCTTTCATGTTCATACAAAAAAGCAGGCATAGGATATATTATTTGAAAAGATATGGACTGGAAAAGACCACTAAGCTCCCATATCTCAGCATAAGTTAGTTTTTTCCTGTATCTTGGATTCACTTCTAGACTCAAAAAGAGAAGACTGACTAATTAACTAAATGTTGGTAATAAAGCATGAATGGGGGGAAACTCTATGTTCATTCATTCTCGTGGGTTGGGGTTTTTTTTTTTTTTTTTGAGACATCATGTCCTGCTTTTCATATATTTCAGGAAAGGCAACAGAATGATATTCTTTTCTTATCAAGTTTGATCTTCAATTTGCTTCCCTTTCTTCTTTGTTACTAGGACTAATCCTACCGTTTAGGCTCAAGACCTACTAACATTACTGATTTAGATATGTGAAACTCTGTATCTGTTTTTTTCTCCCATCCTTAAAGCTCCAGTGCAGCACCAACAGCATAATGGCTTCCAAGGAAATATTGAAACAGAAGCTGTCCGCTTATGAAGTACTGGCATAGATAGTAAACAAAAGCATTTACAGATAGCCCTCAACTGAACCCAAAATTTCTATTGCTAAGTGAAAAATTTGTCAAGTGAGTTTTTTCCCATTTTGTGATCTTTCTTGTCACAGTTGTTAAGTAAATCACTGCAGTTATTAAGTTAGTAACAAGGTTGTTAAGTGAAACTGCCTTCCCTATTGACTTTGCTTATCAGAAGATTACAAAAAGTGATCACATGACTTCACTGCAACTGTTATAAATATGAATCAGTTGCCAAGCATCTGAATTTTGATCATTGATGGGGATGCTGCAATGGTTGTAAGTGTGAAAAATGGGCATAAGTCAGTTTTTCAGTGCTGTTGTAACTTTGAATAATTACTAAATGAACTGTTGTTAACTTGAGGACTAGCTATAATGGAAAAGGCGGCCTTGACATAAAATGCTTACCCGAGCCAGAGTTGTGAAGCCCACATCTGTAAGCTGGGAACACCGAGCTACTTCCAATATCCTGCAGGGGAAAATAAATAAACAAATAAACAAATAAACACACACACACACATATCAACAAACAGTTTTTAGTATTTAAAATCTACTTCTGAAATCTCAGAAAGCCAATATGAACTAAGGAATACTTTTTAAATTCCTTATTCCAAAATAGGTGAGAGATGTTGAATTCTTCCTACTCCCACTTCATGGGATTTTAGATATCAACAATCCTATCAAGAAAATCAAACACTAATAGAAGAAAGAAATAAGACACTATAAATTTCAGAAACAACTTGTTCCTTTTTATGACTTATTTCTAAATTTTAATATTTTTACTATGTTTCCCAGCACTAATAATGAAGATTTTTCGGAAACAAAAATCTCCATTCCTGCTTGCCTTTCTTAGCTAAGGAAACATCTTTTAGCTGAGTCCTTTTGTCATCTATCCCCTCCCTTCACCAACATATATCACTGCCCTGTCTTTGATTCCCAACAATGCTTCATAAAACTGTTTCAGGGCAAGTTAATTTTGTTCAGGTTCTCAAACTGATCTAATCAAAATTATCTTAATAATCAATTTATGGAAGAATCACATTGTTGTTTCTGAATAAGTTAGCTTTCGAAAGGGAAATGGACACTGTTCATAATAGTATAATGAAACTATTCTACATAGTGATGTTTTATTATTTCCTCACAAAGATATGGAATATATTCTAAACATATTAACATCCTTACATACTCCTACATTGTCCTGTGGATGAAGAACTGGTTACTTACCTGCAACTATAGTTTTTCAAACAGTCTTATGATTTGATGTACGTGGGTTGTGTGCGTCCACATAGCCCCATTCAGAGTCATCCCAGATCTTACAAACATCTTTTGAAAAGAACCCCATCCTCATATGTACTATATGACTATGCACTGTCCTCACTGAACCCCCTCAATTCCTAAGACTGATACAAAAGACTTGAAGAAAAATTAAGGTTACTGGAGATGAAGCCAGGTAATATGTTGCATTGTGTAAATTTGCAGATGACTACTGTAAGAACTGCAGTTACAGATAAGTAAGCAGTGCTTTATTATAATGATTTCTCTCATTCACATTTGTGCATCTAAAAGCTTCTTATTTAGAAGAGAGTCTGGATGGCATAAGGTTACCAAAGCAAAGAAAGCCCTTCCAAGGATTGCATCTCACTGTACGTTTGAGTCTGTTTTTATGCTGAATGAAGGTGGAGGCCTGAGATCAAGGAGCTGTCCACATACAAGGGCAATTTGGAAATAAGCATCCGTTTGGTTATCAATGACAGACAATCGCAGACACAGAACTTTTATTATACACATTGACAAACTACAACATTGTGTTACTTTTTGACATAATCACCATTCAAATTGAGGCACTTGTCACAACTTACTACAAGGTTTGAAATTCCTTAGTAGTTGCTCGGCGCCAAATCTGGGCTATGGGGGGGGGGGTGATCAAAAACATCCCAGCGGAACTGCTTCAAAAGTTCTTGGGTGTATCCAGCGGTATGTGGGCGAGCATTATTGTGAACCAACACATTGGAAGTGGTGCCATAGAAAATTCTACCAAATGTGAAGACGCCAAAGGAATACTGCTAGTGAAGTTCATGGAGCGTGGTTTGAAAATCAGTTCAGAAGTCTATTGTGAAACATTATGAAAACTCAGACGAGCCATCCATAACAAGTGTCAGGACATGCTGACTTCCGGTGTGGTGTTGGTTCACGATAATGCTCGCCCGCACACCACTAGACCGCACCCAAGAACTTTTGAAGCAGTTTCATTGGGATGTTTTTGATCACCCTCCCTCATAGCCCAGATTTGGCATCGAGCGATTACTACTAAGGAATTTCAAACCTTGTAAGACATTATGACAAGTGCTGCAGTTTGAATGGCGGTTATATCGAAAAGTAATGCAATGTTGTAATTTTCTAATGTGTATAATAAAAGTTCTGTATCTGCGAGTGTCTTTCATTGATAACCAAACAGAGGTTTATTTCCAAATTGCCTTTGTAGCTTCATTAAGGTAATACTCTAGTCTAGGGAAATGTTGCCAGTTCTGTTGTCACTCTTGATAAACGTACAAACTGCAAGAGGCAAATCTGATATCTAATAACAAGCTTACATGATTACTACTATCTATTAGGAGAATATTGTGAGGAAAGCTCTTCCCTTTAGATAGGCATTATAAGGCCAGGAATGAACTTTTTTACATTAGTGAAACAAGCATTTGGTTCAGGTAAAAAGTACAAATATCATGGAAAGAATGAAGCAGTGTTTCTACTGGTATTTAGAGCTAGGGGGAAAAAAGGCGAGCAATAAAAATTCCAGTATTAAGTGGAACACTGAGGCTGATTTTGAAAGAAAAGAAAAATAATGGAAAAAAATCTATTCTTGATAATTGAATGTTTCAGCAATCAAAAAAAGCTATTTTCAAGAAAATTAGATTAACTGGAAGAGTAATCATGGGTCAAAGAATATAACATAGGGAGGAGGCAGAACTGTATTAGGCCTTCCATGAAATGCTCTATAAGTGGCTAGAAAATAAGCATTTTCCAATAAAAAGAAAAAAGGAGGAGATGGCCATAAGATACACAGTTATTGAAGAGAGAATAAAGCATCATTGCTTCAAATGAAGGGAAAAGATTGAAACACGGTGGATCTGATATTGTCAGGGACTGAATCCTTCTCAGCAGAGGATTTCCATTTAAGTGCAAAGGAAGCCCATTTGTGTGGGCTGTTTGGTGCTGATGTATGAGAAAGCCACAGGAAGGGAATGAAGGGAGACTGTAAAACTTTCTCCTTTTACTATTTCATCTATGCTACAACTCTTCCAATTGACTTATCAATTAACACAAAATGTTAGAATCTTCCCAATTCTCTGATTTGCCCTATCTCATGAACAATTCTCTGAGTTCATCCTTTTCAAACTGGTCAATTAAAGTAAGATCATTCTATCCCACATATCTAGTACATTTCCCTGAAAATAAGAACTAGTCTTATTTTTATTTTATTTTTTTGCCTTCAAAAGAGGCACCAGGTCTTATTTTCGGGGGGTGTCTTTTCCATGGTCTCATCTCGCTGTGGCAGTATGGACAACCCCGTCCAGCCGGCCCACTTCTGCTACCAAAGAAAATGTGTCTGCAGCTGAGAATGGAGCTCCGGCCTGCATTTTGCTATCAGAGGCCTTCCAGAAAGGCCTTTGTAGTCGAGAAACAAGCTACGGATTCCATAGTTTGGTTTTCGGCTGCAGAGGCCTTTCCAGAAGACCTCTGATGGAAAAATACAGGCCGGAGCTCCATTCTCAGCTGCAGATGCATTTCCTTCGGCCGCAGAAGAAGTGGGCCGGCTGGGCGAGGCAAGTGTCGATTCATGGGAGGCCTGGCTGCAATGGTAAGCAGGTGTGGGCTGCATGGGGCAGCTCCACCCCCATCCTAGCTTGATTTTTAGGCATGTGCCTCACCCCAAAACTAGGGCTTATTTTTGGGGTAGGGCTTGTGTTAGGCCCACCCCCAAAAATCAAGCTAGGGTTTGTTTTCGGGGTCGGTCTTACTTTTGGGGAAACACGATATATAACTAAAAATCTTATATTCACACACAAAAATCTGCAATTGCTCCATTATTCTTGAAAATCTCTTTATGAAGTTTGTTACTTGAAAGGGTTCCTCAAGTATCCTGGACCCATGCTATGAAGGGCTTTAAAGGTGATTACCAACACTTACACTTAGAAGCAGACTGGCAACCAGTGCAACCCACAGAGCAGTGTTGTTATATGGACCACTCTTGGGCCCAAAACTGATGGTACAGCTACACTCTGTACCAGTTGTAGCTTCTGAATGCTCGTCAAGGCTAGTCCCTTGTACAGCATGTTGCAGTAGTCCAAATGCAAGATGATTCGGGTTTGAATGACTGAGTGCAGGGACTCCTGATCTAGGAGAAGCCGTAACTGCAACCTGCTCTTCAAGGAGTTGAGAGTTCAAGAAAATGCCCAAATTGTGGACTGGATCTGTCTGGGGCATTGCCACACCATCCAGAACTAAAGATGTCAAAGTCCTGGATCTTGGAGTTCCATGCACCCAAAGCCATTCAAGCTTGCCAGGGTTCAGTCAAAGCCTGCTGTCCCACATCCAGGCCTTCATAGCCTCCAGGCACTGTGAGAGAGCAGAAACAGCATCATTTGGGTCACCAGGGGTAGAAATACAGAACTGAATATCATCAGCATGCTGAAAACACTTCAACTCATAGTGATGGATGGTCTCACCCAGCTACTTCATGTAGATGTTAGAAAGGAGCAGAGAGAATACTAAGTCCTGTGGCATGCCACAAAAGTGGCCATGGGCTATAACTCTCACTTCCTATTAACACCAATTTCAATCAGCCTTGAATAAAGAAGCTGAACCAGTGGAATATTGTGCTGTCCAGCTTCAATCCAGGCCCAAAAGGATACCCATGTTGACGATACTGAAGGCTGTTGAGAGGTCAAAGAGAGAAGATGTTTGCATTATCCCATCCTGCTCTTGCCAGAGATTATCAAGAAGCTCGACCAATGCTATTTTTGTACCATAACTGAAAGGGGTCCAGATAATCAGTTTCATCCAGGACCCTCTGAAACTGCCACGCAACCACATTTTCCATTATCTTCCCTAAGAAAGGAAGATTGGAAACAGGATGAAAATTGTCCAGGAAGGTGGGATCAAATGATGTTTTTTAAAGCAAAGGTCCTCACCTTTTGGGCACCAGGGACCGGTTCCTTGGAGAAAGGTTTTTCCATGGACCAGAGCGTGCATGGTTTTGTGTGCTGCCTGCATCCCACGGATAGGGCTTGGGTTGAGGACCCCTGTTTTAAAGGATTCATTGTATTCGGACTGCTACTGATTCAAAACGACTGACTTCTTCTGACTGTTGTGGTAACTATTCGCATCTTACACCATTTGAAGTTTAAACATGGTGATTTCCATAGCTTATTGGAAAAATAATTTACCTTTTTCATGATTTGTGTTAGGTGGCAATTAGGTATTTGTGTATTTAATATGCCTGTCCTGGGAAACTCTAACTTATTTTGAGCTCAAAATGTTCCCAAAATACTTGAAATAGCTAGTTACACACTTGTACTCAAAACTGGGGGGGGGGGGGTTCGAAGCTGAAATGGTTCAATTTAAAAACATTTTATATACTCTTAATCCTGGTGAATATTTCTAATCCTGATGAACCCTAAGAAGTTTTGAAGAATTGAGATTAAAGAAAATATAAATAAAAGTTAAAGTATTTCAATAATGCTGAAATACGATTGGCTCAAAGAAGAAATGCAATACAGTGATAGTCAAAACTGAAGGGATTCAGCAGGAGCTGGGCCTAGCTACAAAATAAGCATGAGGATAGAGTACCCATCAAACAGTTCTATAAGTTCTAAAAGACTCCGAACAGGCACATAGTCCATATGTGTGAATCTTAGAGATCACAAAGAAAAAGTCTACTTACCTAAGTTTGGGACAATTTTGCCCTAACGCATTCAAGATGGCATCAGTGATATTGGAACAGCCAGAAGCACATAGAGATTGCAACTTGTGGCATCCTCTACATATTGTAATGAGGCCATCATCTGTTATTTGCTAGAAAAGGAAAGAAAGTCAATCATTCGTAGCGAGAAGCATGAATGGGATGATGCTGTGTCCAATTTGCTCTGCAAATTCTAAAATTAAATGTTAAAAACTATTTGCTGGTGAAACAGTTGGATGAGTGACTTACAAAAAACCAGAATGCCAGAATGCCAAATGCATACAATCACGTCGAACCATTTCCTTTTTTGGACAAATGTTCCATTTTTGGCATCACCACAAACTGGTTCAAGATATTTTCTTGGAAGAAAAAATGTACTTCCTTTTTCAGCTCTTTTTATACACACAGAAAAACAGACTGTATTTTTAACACATGTTGAAAATAAAAAGGAGACAAGACTAACAAAGCATGGCAGTTCAAATCAAAGTTTTTCCAGCGTGTTCTACAAACAAACTTTGAAAAAGTTCATACACAAGGCAAATGAAAACCAGATGGATTTACCAGACTAAATGCTAATATTACAATGGTTTTGGAAGATTTTTCAAGATATTAAAGTGATATTCATTATATAGAAATGTGAAGAAATAGTTGCCAATTTGAGAATTTAGAAACATTTAGTCATTGGATGGAGTCAAGCAAAGTCTTCAGAGTTTGAGCATGGAATAGATGACTTTTGCTTTGTCATTATAGCGACATAGTGAATATAGTAGCCTTTGGATTGATTGTTCAGAGCTCAGAAACTAGGTTATAAAAGCATTTGAGCCAAAGAAGTATTTTAAAATCCCTCAATTCAAAATTCATGCTATACTAGGAACAATGACAACTGATAGAAGGGATTAGGCATGGAGTATCAATTTATGATTTTAAAATGAAAATTGCCAGAAAACAAATCTTACAAAAATTCTATTTTTAATTGTGTTAGTAGGAAGAGGGTAATGGAGGGATAGATGCAGTTTGAAATCAAGGCAGGTACAACTACAAGAGAAAGCTTAAAAAAAGTCTGCCATTTCAAAATTGCATAAATGTATATGTGTGGATACATGCACAAATACACTCATTTATTAATCAGTAGATTGCTGTGGAAGCCTTGTTACCCAATAATTTTATTTAGATTTTCTTGTGTAATGAGAAAAACAGGTGAAGCATCAAGGGATTCAGAAAGTGCAGCATGAATCCTTAACCCTGGGAATTTTATTTGGCTTGTTTGAAATTTGGAGAAGACATTTTTGTGAAAAATGGCTTCTTTGGCAGTGGTGGCGAACCTATGGCACGGGTGCCAGAGGCGGCATTCAGAGCCCTCTCTGAGGGCACGTGTGCCATCGCCCCAGTCCTAGGCCTTCAGCTGGGTTTTATAAAACCTTTTTGCTTTAGGCCTCTGCCGTCATGTGCAAAAAAAAAAAAAAAAAGTTCAATCAGTCAATTTCAACTTCTCGCGGGGAAAAAAAAAGTTCTTGCAAAGTTGGAATTGATTGATTGAACTTTTTAGTCCCATCCAGTCTGCTGTTACCACCGCAGCCATGCCCAGCCAATGGGCCACGCCCAGCCAATGGGCCACACCCACCCAGCACTCAACAATGCATAAGTGGGTTTTGGGTTGCAGTCTAGGCACTCGGTCTCTATAAGGTTCGCCATCACTGTTCTAGGGGAATTTGTCCATTCACAGAGTAGCTGCCTTGGAGAATTTAATCAATTAAAAAGATAAGAGTTATCAGATATCTGCTACCTCCTTTTTAATTTTCCAATCTACCTTTATTCTTTTTCTGGTCAATAGATAAATTTGGAGACAAATTAGCAGACTTCAATCATTTATCATATTTATGGGACCGCTGATGGCTTGGAACCAATATAATGCTTTTATATGCCATTCTCCCTCACCCCCTATAATACGTATACACATATGTATAAAATGGTCATATGGGACAGAAAACTAGAAAGATGTCATAAGAAAAATTGAAATTGAGAGATAGTGCCAGTGTTAACCAGGCTTCCTGACCATGCAGAAGATTGGCCGATTAAGTAATCCTCCGTCTTGCTCCGTCTACTGTGTTTAAAGCTTGATGTATTTTTTTTCCTTAGTGATCCTCATAATTTAGAATCTGAAGGCACAAAGTCCAAAACAATAAAAAAATGGCAGAAAAAATTACATCTGTTCTAATTGTGATAAGAAAGTCAACTGCCTGATTCATGAAAATACTACTTGAACTAGGACAATATAACGTACAGTACAAATTTTGACCATTCTATTGCTCACATTTTAAACATTTTCTTATACCCCATATTTTTCTATTATAAAATAATCATTCTGCTAAGCCAATACTGACAACATAAAACATTGAATATGATATGGGATAGGTAATTTACAAAGTTGCCATAGTATAAGAAAGGAGAAAACACTGGGTTATAAGGGGCAACTTCTTACCAAGCATGTTTGCAAATTCAGAGTCACTAATTCAGGACAATTTGCACCAATATATTTGAGAGCTTCATCTTCCAGCTAAGAGAAAGACAGAAATAGAGAAAATAGATAATTTCCTAGGTCTCTTCACTGTACTTTTCATTTGTAGTATAAGTGGATAATATTCAGTCAATCATGCTTTTCTTACTCCTGTCTCACTACAGATCATAAAGTTGCAATTCATAACAAAACCCAGAAATTTGGAGATATATTTCAACACAACACAAAACAATTTCTTCCACCATCCTCCTTTAAAAAAAAGCAACTGATCCCATAAGAATCTGCAAACGTTGTTGTATGATTAACTAATTGCTCTGCCTGCTGCAGCTTTTGAATTTTGAGTATATGTTGTTGAAAATAAATATAAGTAAATCTCACAAGTTGTGTATCAACTTGTCAAAAATTACAGCAATGCTGAAAAAAATAACTTTGTGAAGACACACTCTTTACAGATCTCTCAATAACATGTTCACTATCATAGGGAATATACATTAAAGGAATGTCTAGTACTGGCAATCCTGAGCACGTCTGGCAAATAACTGATGCTACCATATATGTATTTCCCATTGTGTGCCTGCTTACTCTCTTGTACAGATAGTCCTCTACTTATAACCACAATTGAGCCCAAAATTTACAGCCGGTGGGGGGGGGAGAGGAGGAGAGACTTACGACTGATATCCAAAGTTGCAATGGTCAGTGTCCCTACAGTCATGTGATCAAGATTCAGGCAATCAGATTGCAATTACAATGGTTCCAGTGTCCTATTTATGCCCTTCCCCATCTACTTCGCATAAAGCAAGGTGAATAGGGAAGCCATTAGCAGGGAAGGTCGCAAGTTGCTCCTGGCACTTGTTATTTGAAAGCCTACTATGGAGTACAAGATCCTGAGGATCATCTACTGCATAACACATGCATGCAGCACCAACTCTGCTTGCAGTCCTTTGTACCAGCTTGCAATGGGCTCAGCATCTGCCCCCACACACCCATGGTGCAGTGCCTGGAATGGGACAACTCGCTGCTGCTTGCATGGCCAATCTGCCATGGCTAACTCACCACAGCCCACTCACTTTGGGACAATTCAACAATTCAATGTAATTTATTTAAAATAAAAAATATTTTAACTTTTGTCATTCACATTTTATTTTGTCCCTTCTTTGGCATCTTTTCTTTAATGATTCTATTCCACTATTTATTCGATATTAGTATAACCCTTGTCTTGTGGCAAGTTGTCCCTTGGTGAGGTGGCCATGGCGAATTGTCCCTGGCAAGTTGGCCACAGTCAGTTGGCTGGAGTAAGTTGGCAGCAGCGAGTTAGCTGTGGCAAATTGCCTGTAGTGAGTTGGCTGCAGTGAGTTGTCACAGACTCTGAAGTACATGCCTTTGCACCTAGTTGCACTGTGCAGCACCCCCCACCTACCCAAACTCATATCCCCAGCACTTCCCCACCCAACTACACTTGTGCCACAAAATCCATCTCTCCCTGGCCACACTCCATAACATTTATCTACCCTCTGGCTTCCTTCTGGACTGCCTGAGGAAAAAATTGTGGTGACTAGGACTGCAACTTTCTATGAACTTCCCCAATTTTGCATGTTGGAAGCTAGTAGGAAATTGCAAGTTACAATCGTATCAGGTCTCTGCTTAATGATGTACAATCCTCGCTTAAAGATGGCAACAGGGAATGCTGGGATTGCTGTAACTAAACAAATGCAATCAAATGATGTTGCGCTTTAGATCCATATCACTTAGTCCCAATTAGTGTTGCAACCCAAGGACTACCTGTAATGTTCTGATTTAAAGAACAAATTGTGAATCACTATTATAACATTTTTGTACAGTCTGATGTGACAAAACAGTAGATTTCTGTAGAATTATTCTTTTTCCAATTTTCAATGTCTCATATGCAAGTCATGAAACACATGAAACAAATCAGCCAATCCAGCTTTCTAGACTATTGAACTTTCTAAACAAATCCAGCCAATCCAAATCCAGCTTTCTAGACTACTGAACTTTCTGAACAAATCCAGCCAATTCAAATCCAGGTTTCTAGACTACTGAACTTTCCGTGGAGACTTGTACAGTACCTGTGTACAGCCTTTAAGAAACAGAGCTTTGAGTCCACCACAGCCTCTCACCAAATTTTGGATGCCATCTTTTGTCACTTGGTCACACCACGAGATATTGAGTTGCTCTAGTAGAGGGCACCCCTCACTGAAGGGGAAAAGGGATGAACACAGAAAGAAAATGCAGGTGTATATATTAACTCTAAAGATAAACATCTTGCTTCAGGAACCAAGGTATGTTAACCCTTGCTTATGTTTATTCTAAACTGTTTCTTCTCTGGTACAGCCTTAATAGACAATCCAATTGAAACCTACAGCTGGAACAAACCTAATAGCCATAGAAATAGGGCTGGAGAAAAGGGATTGGTCTGTTTTTGCATCCTGCTATTAGGGATTTGAGATAAGAGAGCATCTCTGATTTGACTCATAATTCTGTGTTTGCATATTTCTTGTAACATTTCCAATGTAAATCTTGCTGATCATGGCTGCTGAAAGGTTTACCAAAAATCCGAAACTTAGGGACTCTCCTAGGATTAGAAAACCATTTACTGGCATACAAAAAGTCATCCTGTGTCCCACTTATCTGAGTCTCACAAGCTACATTAAGTACAAAAAAACTGCATATTTATTCCTTTAAGTTATAAACTGGGCCAACATCACTATTAGTAAATTAGGCCCTTTGGAGAGAGAAGAGAATAAATGCATCACAAAGACATCCAACATATTTAAATCAGAGAAAATCACTATGAGTCTACTTTTATTAACCTAATTCAGGTAGTTAGTTTATGAACAATCTGAACACTCACCTCAATGCTTTCAGTGACAGGTTGGTTATTGATGTGCAGGAAGCTAGATCAAGATGCCGTAACTTTGAGCAAAATTTACTAAGGCTAGTACATGTACTGGAAGAAAATAGAATACCCACAGGTTCATTTTGTTTTTATTTAAAAAGGTAGGAAAAAGCACTGGAGACATTTTCAGATGGATGAAAACAGCTAATTCTAGTAATTAAAATATTGTGCCACTATTCCACCTTACCTTCTTCAATGATTTGAAAACACTGGAAATTTACAAATGGGAGATGACACTAAACTGAGTTGAGACATAAAGAGATGAAGATGGCAGCAGTGTGCAAATTTATTGATGTCACTCTGGAGGAGTTTGGAAGAATGGATTTTTTTGGAAGGCTTGTGAATGTTGAGAGTGGTTTATGGAAGTGGAGAACTGTATGAAGAGGAAGGCACGTATGACAGGCTTGAGAATTGGGAGAGAAGTAGAAAGGTGGAGAGATTGAAAAATAATGGATGGATGGATGGATGGATGGATGGTACGGGTATGATTAAGATTAAGATGAGCTCCACCACCAATCTACTCTAATCCCACTCCAACATCCTTTTTTAATCATGAAATAAAAAATATAGCAATTACATGAAAATAGCATATTTGGGCAAACTAATAAAAAAGGACCACGGGGAGGGGGACAGGGGAGACCATTGGGGAGAAGAATCATAATGTAATCTTATATATGGTTCAGAAGTCCAGACTAATTTCCAATGAAGTTCACTCTCAGTTAAGTGCTATAAGATTGAAGTTTTAAAGAGCTAATACATATTTCAGAACTCCAAAATAAAAGTCACTTACGCATCTGTAATTTTGGTGCAACCATTTAGATTCAACACTTCAATATTTCTGCAGTTTTGGGCAAATGTCCTTCATGAAAAAAAAAACATAAATACTTTCAGGCTTTTAATGAAAGATTTTATCATAATGATTTGATTTTTTAAAAAATCTTGTATGCAGTGAAAAGTAAAACTAGCAACATAAACTTTAAGTAGTATTTTGACAATATCTAGGGAGAAAACCCAGTTTTTTAGGAAGCAAAAAAGAAACCATGAAACATAATTCTATTGAAAACTTCTATAAAGTTTGAGCCCCTATTTTTAAATTATTTTGAAATGTCATAAATGTAGGAGTTCAGAGATTATATTATCGTATAACCTCTGAATGATATGTTTGCCAATTTCTACTGCAGAGGTGGGAAATGATGGCCCCTTTATGGTTTTAACTCCCAGAATTCCTAGGCCAGCATGGGCCATCGTTCCTCACCCCTGCTCTACTGGGATAAGCATTACTGGATTGATAGGTATTTATTTTAGTTACTTAAGCAATATAATAGATATTGTACATCTTACCAGGAATGACTTGAGGAAGCATCAGAAAGAAGTAGTACAGGTGGTCCTCGATTTACAACAATTCACTTAGTGACCATTTGAAGTTACAACAGCACTGAAAAAAGTGACTTATGAACTTTTTTTACACTTATGACCGTTGTAGCATCCTCATGATCATGTGATTTACATTTGGATGGTTGACAACTGACTCATATTTATGACCACTGCAGCATATCAGAGGCATGTGATCCCCTTTTGTGATCTTCTGACAAGCAAAAGCAATGGGGAAATCAAATTCACCTAACAACCTTGTTACTAATTTAACAACTGCAGTGATTCACTTAACAAGAAAAGTCATAAAATGGGGCAAAACTTACTTAACACATTTCTCACTTAGCAAGATAAATTTTGGACTCAATTGTGTTTGTAAGTTGAGGACTACCTGTAACGTTATACCTCACAACCTATGACTTAATCTGAATGTAACATTTCTCAATCTAAGATGAGAATTCTGTGCTTATTCAATCATAAACATGTTTATAAGCAGGCCATGCAACCAAGCATTTCAGTATGCTCCAAATTTATTCTTCTAGAGAAAAGCTGAAGCCAGTCTGTGTTGTTGCATCTATGTTCTCCCATAATTTATATCTAATTGTTTTCAATATTTCCTTAGATTTGTTTTTGCTTTGTTGTGCATTATTAAGACACATTTATAAGATGAATAGGTTTATAAATTTGCTAAATAAGCAGTTTTTTCAATGCCTTTTCCTAAAAGTTTCCCCATTATATTATTGTGTAGTACTGCATACGAGTAAAAATCTTCTGCTTAGAATTGTGTGGAGACAGGAAACATCTACAGCAGGCTTACATAAAGGCCACAAGCAGTCTTATGTAGCCTACAATATTTCTTTAAAAATGCTGTCCCCCAAAACATGTTACCAACTACCTCCAAGCTTTACTGCTGCTGCTGCTAGTTCCAGCCTTTCTGCCGATCCACTAGTCATGGAAAAGTTGACTGGCACTCCTAGTATTTCTTTGGGGCCCATGAGGATTTTCAATTTATCAATGTGACCCTTTCCCCTCAATGATTTGTGCAGGATTGGTCTGGAAATAGGAAAGAATGCTTCCCTCCTTTAAATAACATCTAAGATATACTCTAGTTTGATGTTACAGATAGTTATGATAACACAGAAATCAAATATTTGAGGATGCTGTATCCTCAATTTTTGTACCCAAAATTAGCTACCTGCCCTATCATCTTATGCCCAGTTCTCAGATAGGTGTTAAATAATTTGTGTTGACCTCTCTACCTCAATGCGTTGTCTCCCACACCTAGGCATCCGCGTAGACTCAGCTTTCGAAGGAATCCTCCACATCTTTTAGAAATATTTTCTACTACACGCCCCTGTAAGAAGAAGACCAAGAAGAAAATCTTCCAAGTTAATTCTACAAACAACTTTTTTTTCTTTAAACTATCTTTTCCTATTTGATATATTTTTATCACATCTTGTTATCCTCCTTCACCTCTGGGCATTTAAACTATATTCAGAATGGTATGTTCTATGGAATGCCTGCATTTATTTGGTCCATATATAGGGGTCTCCAGGGTCAGTTCATAGAAGCTGAAGCTTATATTGTAGTGCTAAGTTTGTGCCACTAAGATGCTTTTCTGTGGCAAACTGATCAACTGAATATTTTCAAGATTAAATACAAACCGTAATGCTGTCATCCAACTCTTGTTATATATTGTTTATTGTGCTATATTCTTTCTCAGTTTGTGCCTGCAAAAGACCATGCAGCTAACTTAGCCACATAATCATACATTCCAGGCATATGATTATATAGAGGGAAACAGGGGGTCAAGGGCTAGTTTTTGTAGCGAAAGCTGACTTTGGCTATTTGTTACAGTTTGTGATAGAAATAACAGAGGGGCATCCGGTTCCGGTTCGTGGCGGTGCAGTCGAATGAAGGGAGTTGTCCCTTTGCCAATCGAGTTTCCCCTGCCGGTAGACCCCAGAGGGTCGAAAAGACACTCTGGAGAAGCGTCTACCGTTGAGGAGGCTTCTCGGAGAGTTGAAGAGGAGTGTTGATGTCCTCTGTGCTCCGAGTATCTCCTTTGGGCCGACAGGGTAAAGATTGGCCAGTAAAATGGCCGATCAGTTAGCTGTGCCAACCGCAAGCCACAAGATCAGCTAAGCAAACGGACCCACCGTGGAGAACTTGGTGAGACTTTCCTTTCACCTCTATATTCTTTATGCCTGTGAAAAGTTTTTTTTTTTAATTATTCCCTTTTCTGGTGAAGCGGCTTTTTAAATGGGGGAAGAGAAACACAAAGGATTAAATTTATTTTTGTTTTAATGGTTGTTTTTATTTTTGGATATTGGGAGCCTCAAGAAAGTTTATTTTTCTTTTTAATTTGGAGAATATTGTTTGCTTTTACCTTTATGGTATCTGGAAGGATTGAACATCTGATTACTTTCTGGGGGACCCTCTCTGACAGATTTATTCATTGTACTTGCTATTTTTTGTTCGCTGGAAAGGCTTTCATTTTGTACAAAGGAAAAAGGCGAGGAAACTGGGAGGAGATGGATATTGTGATCGTTGTTTAAATATAGTCTCCTCTAAAAGGATAAGGATTTGAAAGATAATAAGATGGAGGAAATCAGCATAGATATTACTTATAAATATATTTTGGACAAAATTTTGGAAAATACGGAGAAGATAATTGCTTGCTCAAAAGAGATTTCTTTGTATCGACAAAGCAGAGCACAAGGACTAAGTGAAACATCAGCTTATGTTCAAGAGACTTGCTCTCTGCTTACTGAGTTGGAAGAAGTAGACTCACAGTTGGATTATCAATTGATAGCGGAGAAAAGACTTGATGCCAATGGACAAATAATCCACGATAAGGAAATGGAGGATTTTACTTCAAAAGAACAAGCTGGCTTGCAGATACCATTTGACTTGGTGATAGAGAAAAAATCATAGGAAGAGGAGCAAGGTTTGATTAAAGAGGATGTTATAAAAGAAAGGATTTTAATTGAAATTTATACAATGCTAAAAGAAAGGGGAAATGATGTTCTGCCACGAGTTATTCAGACTAGCTATAACTTTTACATTAACTTAACAAAATGCACAATGGGAGTTTCTTTTTTGGTGTGTATAGTGTGGCAGGCAGAGGCCCGATTATGGAAATCTATCTGGAATTTTAAAAAAGCCCAGAATAAGATATAAATATTAAATTTGATTATAGTAATGTGGTAAAAGTTTTATAGCGATCCGGATTGATTTGGATTTGGAATTTGTTAAAAGACTTTATATGTTTTTAATATTAAAGATGGTACAATGGGAAAAGATGGAATTAATTATTGGAGATTTGGAGACACAGTGAAAAATAATAGAAGATTGGTGAGAAAGAGAAGAATTTATTTTTGGAGTTAACAATGCTTAAAGAAAAAAAACAACAACAACACTTGGGGCACCTGAATAGTAAATGAATATGAGCTTAAGATTAAATATTTGCAAAATTAAGAAAGCATGATACAGGATCTTTGGAATGGATAATGAGTTTGTAAATTCTTATTGATTAATTAAATTTATATAGAGTGATATATTCAATGAAAATTTGTTTTAGAAATGTTTTAATGAGCCTATAACAATATAAATAGACAGAGTATGTTAATTTATTTTTAATTATATAACTTGGATGAAATGTTATATTAATGAATGAATTGGTTTTAGAAAGATAATGACTTGATTATAATGTTTTTAAATAAATGGAATTTATTAAGGTTAAGTTTAAATGTGTGAAGAAATATAGGTTTTTATAGATAAAAATTTTTATTGAATAATGCAGTTGATGGTTAATAATAATAATGAATGAATTCATCTGAAAATGTATTAATTTGATTATAATATTCTACATAGAGAGGGAAACTTTTAAGAAATACTGGGTATATAGTACTATGTTATTGCTTGTTTTTTTTTAAAAAAAAATTGGATCACCATGTTTCCACGTGGGTTCCTAAGCTGTGTTGGTGTAAAATGGAAAACTAATAAAAATTATTCTGATAAAAAAAAGAAATAACAGAGGATTTTCTTCAGTAGCATACTTAAGTACTAAATAGGCAGAAATTAATTAATTTGGCTACAGGGACCAAAAAATCCATGAGACATATTTATAAGGGGCAAAGCATTACAACTAACTACTTTTCAAATCCACGCAGCCTTTGTATTTTTTTTTTTCTATTGAGGTTTATCCTTGCAGCACTAGCTATCACATAAAGAATTGCATAAGGAGAAATTCCTGGAGACTGTTTCAAAAAAAAAAAAAAAAAAATCAAGTGGTATTCTTACTACTTTTCATTTTAATATGGTGACTTTTAATGACACTCTAAATCTCTATACTTGATGCGTCACCTCATGCTCGTCAATGCTAGTTATACCTCAAAGATATCATATTCATATAATTATAAGGCACAATGTTTAAATTGAGAGATTATTACCTCCTTCAGATAATGGATTCTTCCTTCAATATTTTCAGGTCAGGGACATAAATCTTTGTGCACAAATGATACTGAATAAATTCATACAGAGATAAGCATTCACAGTATAGTTTTAATAGAAAACATATAGTTTTCTATTAAAAGCATACTATAGCTTTAAAGGCTCTTTTGAATGAGGAGTAAAACAATTAACAATTTGTCTCTGAAGATCTGAAAAGATGACATGACTTATTACTATTCTGAGGCAGTACAGTAATTACAGTTTATCTAGAGGCAATCTTTTGCATATCACTTAATTATACCTCGATGTCCCTCTGGAAATCAAACAGGTCAATCCGTTGCCAATTGCTACCATCCAAAGCTAGGACATTCCATGCCTATAATGAAATTGATAGAAAGTTGAAAAAAGAATGTCAGATATATTCCTCTAAATAAAGAAAAACTAAAGGTAGATAAGATAGATCTCTACTTACTTGAGCCAGTCCAAAGCTTCTGTCCTCTAGCAATACCAAGTTATTTTCTCATGAGACCCAATACATTCAAGCACTCTAAATATGCCTCAGTTTAAAACAATGCAGATCTGATTTAATCTTTCTGCAGCTAACCATTTTAATTCTTACATTCAGAAATTACAGAGGATACGTACATGCAAGAACAACTCACAACTGGCTCATGCACACTTCAGTTTCCTAAATAATAATGCCTCATTATCTTTTAAGAGTGAAGGCTTTGTGTAATGAATATAATACAATATACAGCAGTTGCTTGGATTACCTTATTTCAATTTAATTCAGATGATGATATCATTTAAAGCCCAGATGTTTAAAGCAGCAGAAAGGCTTCCTTATGAAATACGAGGAGCAGCAAAGAATCTTTAATTTAATCAGTGAGCAGATTATAAATCTGCTTCCTCCTTTTTAAAAAGATGTCTATGTAGTTTGATCACACTGATCCTGTATTTCATACTTTGAAAAATCATTTAAAAGTTTTTGCAATAATGTTTTTAAGCAAAGCTTATTTTTCACAATTATGTCTCCCAGTGCAACTTTTATTGATTCCAACAAGGTTATGCAAATCCTTCAGAAGTGTTGTGAAGTATTAAAGCAGTTATGCCTTTTCTCAAGCTTGTGCAGCTGTTTTAGAAGCTGCTCCAACTGGCCTCCGCATGCATGCACCAAGTACTGCAGAGTACCAATTCTGAAGGATATGCACAGCCCAACCTTTTGACTAATTTGATTTCTTTTTTGGTATTTCTTTTTAAATGAGGCATTCAGATCAATAAGCTCCTAAAAGTTAAGATAACTTCTCAACACAGTATTCTCTAGGTAGGGTAACTACTCCCAATATCCACATTCAGTATTTTGTAGTCCCACTGGGAATTATGGGAAATGGAATCTAATACATCTGGAAGGTAGCAAGTTTGGAAAACTTGTAATAGACACGTAATAAGAATGTGCTACAGAATAAACCAGGATTATTAAACCACATTACCCAATTCACATTGTGAATTATAATGACTGTGCTATTCTGCTCATGGTCTAGTACATTCACCATTAAACAGGATTTCCTCTGAGGTATACCATATGTATTTATATGAAACAATGAATCATACAGGAATATAGGACAGTGTTCTCAGTAACAATCTTCAGTTTTAAAATTCTATTCCTGATATTGTCCAGCAAAATATGAGTCTGAGCATCTTAAGACTTTTTCTCCCCCAGACAAAAATTTAATTATTGAGCCAAGTATAGCTCACAGAAATGTCTCTGTATTCTCTACGAATAGCTAACTTAGAATCATTCATTTAATGATCAAAATTATGATGTGTTAAAAAAGTTAGTCCTCACACTTGTGACTTAGCATCCACACATCACATGATCAGAATTTGGTGCTTGGCATCTGGCACATATTTGCAATGATTACAGCATCCTGGGATGATTTGATCGTCATTTGCAACCTTCCCAGGGAGCTTCCAACAAACAAATTCAGTAAAGGACCATGACAAAACTTGTTATAAAACTGGGTTTTAATAACTATATCACTGGGGGTTCTGGCCCCAATTTTGGTCTTAAGTTGAGGACTGCCTATATAAAAATCCATTTTGTTAGCCCTCTCCTATCCATGTCCTCAAAAATTCTTGCTACCGAGGACCTGTGAGCATGAATTATAGGTGAAGAGAACGCATCAGCTGCAATCCCACCATTTCCCAGTAACATAGGAGTCTGCATATTAACAGTAACAAAACAAGTGGACATTTTTGATACTGTATTGGTTCAAAAACTGCAGAGGGCGGGAGAAAATGGGCTCACACTGAATATTACTTAAGGCTGACATATTCCTGGGTTTCATATGCTAGTCCACAGGTCGGCAACCTGTGGCTCCGGAGCCGCATGCGGCTCTTTGAGCCTTCCCCTGTGGCTCCCAGCCTCCTCTGCCTTTGCAGAGAGAGACAGAGAGAGGCAATAGCGCTTCCCTGTTTCCTTCTCTCTCTCTCTCTCTCTCCCTCCGTGTGTGTGTGTGTGTGTGTGTGTGTGTGTGTGTGTGTGTGTGTCTGTGTGTGTGTGTGTGTGTGTTCTCCGAGGAGCTGAAAAGCTTTCTGGGCGGAGCTCCTCCCTTTGCTGCGTCTCTGCAGGAAGCAGGAAGCAGGAAGGGCAGGAGAGAGCTAGATAGCCCAGCTAGGCTTACTCAGGAATTCTGGGAGTTGAAGTCCATGAGTCATAAAAGAGACGAGGTTGCTTACCCTGAACTTGTTGGACAACAGCTTGAAGCTTGCCAGGTGAACAGCAGATAGGAGAGAGAGAGAGAAAGAGAGAGAGAGAGAGGGAGGGAGAGAGAGAGAGAGAGGAAAGAGAGAGAGAGAAAGAGAGTGGGGGAAGAGGAGTGGCAGGCAGACCAAGGGCAGATAGAGAGGGAGGGAGAGAGAGAGACAGAGAGAGAGAGAGAGAGACCCTTTTGACATCTAAAATGAAGATAACACTGCATATATCCTTTTTTTACCTGTATGTGTATGTGTATGTATGTGTATATGTGTGTGTGTGTATACAAACACACACACACACACCTATAATAAAGGTAAAAAAGGATATATGCAGTGTTATCTTCATTTTAGATATCAAAAGGATTTTGTGGCTCCCGGTGTTTTGTTTTTGGTGGGAAATGGGTCCAAGTGGCTCTTTGAGTGTTTTGGGTTGCCTACCCCTGTGCTAGTCTATAACCGTATTAAATATTTGATTTGATTTGGTTTATGGGTTTCAAGATGACAATCTGGAGATACCCAATAGAGAAAGCCTTTCCAGTACTAGTATGCAAACATTCTTACCCTGGAGACCTGCGCGCAGCGGCATAGAGTGACCACATCCAGAAAGGAGAATATTCTGTTAAAATACACACATACAAACAAATAACTAAATGCATATGTATAAATGTACTGTGAAATGACTTAAGCAAGAGCTACCAAGAGTTTTGTTTGGAAACCTGGTTTTAATATCCAGGTTTCAATTCTGAAAAACTGAAAGAAGAATGTGACATTTAATCAGTAAAAAAAAATTAGTCATTATGTAAAGTAATAATTTAGCAATATTATTGTTCCTTATTACAACAATAATTTACAGTTTATTCTGTATATTATCTCAAAGCATAATATTATCAATTTATTTATAATTAAATAATTGAAGTATAGTAGACAAAAATTTACAACATATATTTCATTACTTAAGATTTAATGTAACTAGTTCATGTATCTAACTTTTAGTTAGCTAGAGATATATACATCTTCTGCTTCTGCATTCTTTGCAATTTAAATCCATAAACCAAAATTAGTAATTATTAAAATTAGTGAAATTAATTCAATGAAATGGTGGAGACAAAGTAAAACTACTGATAGAAGCAATCTAAATTACCATGTTTGTACTGTAAATATGACATTTATTAGTTCAAATAGTTGTATTATTTAGTATTGCAAACCAAAAAGTACCGTACTACTAAAAACAAAATTGAATAAAGCAAAGATTAAATCACAAAACTCATAATATATCACAAAATATTGTTTTAAAATATGATAGTGATTATGAAGTATAATTTTATCCTCATTCTTGATATCATTTTATTATGATGCAATTATGATGCAATTAAAAGATAGCTTTTTACAAAGATCTTGACTTTGAGGAATATTTGATTATTAGTATTCTTTAGGACAGGGCTTTTCAACCTTTTCAGAGATTGTACAACTTTTAGGATATGGCAATATTCGAGTACCACCTAATAGGTGGGCGTGGCCTGTTTGTCGCCACTCACTGGACCCAGCTGACTCGAGACAGCTGGGTCAGAATGGAACAAATGGCACCAGCTAACTCAATGAGGGGACAACTCGGTTCCCCACAAACTCCTCACCTCCCCAAATTGCTAGCAGCCAAGCCAAGCACATGCGCGCGCCAGGCGCACGCGTGCATGCGCGCGCACACACACACACACACACACACACATCACATTCCAGGTTTGGGGACTTTTATCCACAGGAGAGGGCCTTTTCCCCAAGCCCAGGCATGATTGGCAATTTGCTAGGTCAGATGTGGATGCAAATCTCCAAGCTTGTAATGTTTGTGTTTGTGGATAGCATGCTAAAGAGATATTCTTTTCCAATCCCAGACATCGTTGGTGTTTCTCTGTCCAGTGCCCCCTCCCAGCAAAGCAGGAGGTGGAGGACGTTTGCAGGAAGCAGTTTCCTCTGAGTCCAACTCCTATCTTGACAGATCTCTGGAGAGCAAGAGGAGGCTACAGGGGAGCAGCGGGTCCTGGGTCCTGCACAAGGGAGGCTGGGTCTTCTCAAAAGGAGAGTCCCATTTCCAATCGTGCATGGTAAAGATGCTGGTTTGTTGGGTCAGCCTTCCCTCACAGAGCTCCCCTGCCACACCCTCCTCCTCTGCAGAGATCTACAGGGGAGACAGAGATCTGGAGGGCAAGGTGCAGCCTCCATATTGGCCACTTCTACCTCTCCAAGCCCTTCTCGATTAAACATACATTACATATAAATTAAAACACAGGCCCAAAAAATAGGTAAATCACTAATTACAGTTCTTCACATATTTTCTGGGAAAACCCACCTTTATTGATGTTAGGAAGGAACTCTTAATAGGAAGGGAATTCAAGACTCCAAAGGTCTCGTTCTTTTTAATCTGCCTTGCCTTTGAGCCTTTAGTTCTCTTTATTTTATTTATTATGTATTTAAGAAGATCAAAGGCCCCCGTAGCTCAGGATACTCATTTTAAAGTCAGAACCCAGAAAAATTTAGTTAATCCACAATACCGTCCTATGAAGAATGAAGATAATTTTGGGGCTCTGAGAGCATGCAGGTGTCCAGTCAGAATATTAGTGGCACACCTGTCAGCAACTGGAAGTGCGTAAGTCCATGTACTTCCCTTTCCTGTCTCACAACAAAATCGATACATCCTTTAATTTTCAGACATATCTTTTTGTCATAAGCTCCTTAAAAAACCAACAAGGTATACTATAATTAGTAGGATAATAAATCTAGCACTTCTGAATTCTTTCCCCAAGGGAAAAAGGAAAGTTCACAGCCTGCAGGTTGCTAGCAAAGTTGTCAAAGAACGTAGTTATTGCTGCTAAAGAGAAGAATAAATAACAAATCAATTTTGCAGGTCTCTCCTGTTACTACATCCTCTTACCTCCAGAATGTGGCCTGGGATTGTACAAGGGGCTAGGGCCAGTGGTGGCAAACCTTTTAGAGACCAAGTGCCCAAATTGCAACGCAAAACCCACTTATGCATTGTTGGGTGCCGAGTGGACGTGGCCACCGAGCTGTCGGCTTGTGCTCGCTCGCTCGCTGTCCGCTCCGACTCGTGCTCACTCTCAAGCTGTCTGCAGCAAATGCTGCTTCCACAGAAAGTTGCTCCTTTTATAGCCTCTCGCCTATTACCAGACTGTGCATGCGCGGAGAGGAGGGAGATCAGCCCAGCAATGGCTTGCGTGCTGCCAGAGACGGCTCCGTGTGCCGCCTGTGGCACGCGTGCCATAGGTTTGCCACCATGGGGCTAGGCTAAAATCCGGTTGAGTAGTTTGCAGCCTGGTGTTCAGTACAGACCTTGCCAATAGCCCAGGAAGGGATAGGAAAACCCAAGGAAAACTTTGCAATCAATAAACCATGGTGGACTACACTTGTTTTGCCCTATTTTGATTCTCCTTCCCAGCAGCAGCCCATGGATTTTAGAAATGAATGGCCACAAAGACAGAAGCTTTCAGCTTCCCAATCCCTGCTTAGAAAGGAATTTGCATTTTGGTAAGGGTCAGGCCATACGCCCCCAATCAAAGGAAAACCCTGAATCCAGCAGGCCAGAAGGCAGCCCAGCCTCTGCGCCCCTCTGGTTCCTTCTCGTCCCCTGGACACAGATGCAGTCACTGCTCCTCGACATAGCTGGGGCAGGACTTGCAAGTACCTCTGTCCTGCAAAGCGGTGCTCCCCGGCACTCCTGCCCACCGCCTAAAGGCCGAGTGCTCCAGCCTCGCCCAGCCAAGGAAAGGGGCAGCAGCCAAGACTACAGCAGATTTGCAGCTTGTCAGCGGCACTCAAAGGCTGCCCAACTTTACTCTGGAATTTTGGAGTTGGAAAGCAGAGGGGCAGCGCCGCATTTGCAGGCCTGACGGCACCTGCTGGAAACCCTCCTGCCTCCCACCCCCACCCCGCAGCTACCTCCTTCAGAGCCTTCCTGATGCTGACGGACCTGGTCCACCCACTTCATCTTGCAAAGCGCAGCTCACCCAGTGCTTCCCATTCTCACACATACGTTCCTCCAATATCCTCCCCATTCACGCACAAACATAGTGTTGAAGAAATGGTGGAATAGAATAATTAAAGAAAATATTTCAAAGAAGGAACAAAATGAAATGTGAATGATAAAAATTAAAATAATTGTTTAATTACTTTAAATAATTGAATTATCCAACTGTTCTGCAGCAAGTTATCTCAGGGTAAGTTGGCTGTGGCAAGTTAGCCACGGCTAGTTGGCTGTGGCGAGTTGTCCCATTCTGTAACAAAAGCTTCCTCTCCAATATCACAAAAAGCCACAGCTTAACTTGGTTTACTGAAGTTTAGTTTGCTTAAAATAACAAATTCATAAATGATGGCATATAAAACACAATGTTTTATGAATCCACAGTAAGCTACAGTGAAACATATTAAGGCTTAAAACAATGTGTGAATTCAACCACTGAATAATTCTGAACAAAATGTTAATTCATGGAACCCAAAACATATTCTTTGCAAAAGATTGACAGCTATTGTCACGGACCCAAAGTATTTCTTGCTTTCCTTATGTGTAGAGTGATCTGTAACTACAAAATGTCAGCAGCCTTACCTTAAAACCAATGTCAACAACAATGGACTGCATATAAATTTAACAAATTAATAAACTATTTGGACATCTTCATAGCCTCCTGGCATTTAGCCAATGTATCTACACCACCATGCCTTTGTATCAGACCCACTAATGGAATATATATTGCCAGAAATTTGAGGGCAAGTAGAAAAAACAGCTATCCCAGAAGAAGAAAGAGGTATGACATACAACTTAGTGAATTGGATAATAACTTTCTCAGCAAAATTTTATTCCCTGGCAGGAAGAATTGCCGATTCACCACCAACAAGAGTACTATGCTATGATGTTAGTATAGAAAGGAGAATGTTTTTGAAGTAAGGGAGGAATTTTAATGTATAAGGGAAAAAAGTTTTTAAATCATATAGCATATTTCTTTCCAAACCTAATGCTCCTTTCAGAATTAGTCTGTAGTTAGATTTAAGCTTTAATGTGGTTTGTTTTACTTTGGCTTACTATGGATTCATAAACCATTGTGGTTTATAACCATCATTCATGATCCCATACAAGATATTCATTTTCATCATACACTGAATACAATACAATGGAAATCTTTCAAGAACTGCCTCAACTTCATTCTACAATTAATTTTGGAATCCTTATTACCTGTCTAGAATCATTAAAAGACCAGTCCCCACCTCTATGCTTCAGTACTTGACTTAAAACTCTGGGACCACATAGTTATAGAATACACTGGAATGTAAATGCATTCCTATTGAAGAAAATGCCAGGAAATTCTACGTTAAAGATTGATCATAGTATTTATGTACAGTAGATATAAAATACAATCATGTTTTCGAAAAAATAAAGTTTCAAAAGAACTATAATAATTTTCACCAAGTTCAGTGCATTATATATATATTTTTTCTTTTTCTCAGGAGAAAATAGGAGGGTGATGTCCTGGGAAATAATAGAAATTATTAATTTCTACTTACTGTTTGGCATCCCGTAGTGTAAAAAGCCTAGCTTTTAATGAAAGTACATTAATC